TTTATCATTAATATTTAGAGGCACTTACTTTAGCACATATCCATCCATCCCCCATTCACCAACCCATCTTATTTTTATCCACTTCAAAGAAAACTGCATACATCAGTAAGCCAGTACATCAGTAGTCCCGTACATGTGTTGGATTAGATCCAGGGAGCCCCTTCTGTGCTGGCTGCCTCCACCCTGTTCCTCACCTTCATGGAGAAGCTGCAAGAAGCTCCCAGGTGAGGGAGGCCCAGAGCACCCAGTGGCAGGCAGGCCGTGTTGCTGGACAGCAAGAAAAAAGATTATTTTAATTGCACCCACAGGAATGGGATCAGAGAGCTGGGGACAGATTGAGATAACCTATTAGTCACTTGGCAGAGCTTGCTTTAGACTCTCATCTCTCTTCTCCCTTTCACTGGACTTCACTTCCAATTACAAAACTCAATGGGTTTTTATTCCCCATTAAAAAAAAACTGAAGTGTAGTTGATTTACAGGCTTCCCTGGTGGCCCAAACCATAGAGAGTCTGCCGGCAACGTAGGCAATCCATGTTCGATCCCTGGGTCGGGAAGATTCCCCTGGAGAAGGAAATGGCAACCCACTCCAGTGTTCTTGCCTGGAGAATCTCATGGACAGAGAAGCCAGCTACAATCCATGGGATCGCAAAGAGTTGGACATGACTGAGCGACTCATGCATAGTTGCTTTTCACTTTTGGTTAATTTCAGGTGTTCAGCAAATTGATTCAGCTATATATTTTCAGGTTCCTTTCCAGTATTGGGTATTACAGCTATTGCATATAGTTCCCTGTACTATACAGTAGGTCATTGTTGTTGATACACAATTAACATGTGTATCTGTTATATATATAAGTGTGTATCTGTTAATTCCACAGTCATAATTTACTCCTCTTCCCTGCTTTCCCCTTTGGTAACCCTAAGATTTCTTTCACGTCTGTGCAAAACTCAATGGTTTTGAGAGAGGATCTGCAGAGACCAATCTGAACTGTTTGCAACTTCCTAGAATTTAGTCACTTGATGAGACTGCTTTGGGGAGGGGGGTTTAGAGGGATTTGAGAAGGTGACAATGTTCTTCGAGACAAAAGCTGCCCTCCTGAGTGGATTCATCTCTGAACTGCTCCTCTTAGGCTGAGATGCTTCCGCTGTGAATGGCGCCTCTGATACCTGCCTCAGCTCTGCTGTGGGGTGCCATGTGTACATCTGGGCTCTATCTGCATTTTCTGGAGCCCAATTCCTGGTTCTCCCAGGAGATGCTGCCCAGGTCTTCAGACCTCCCAGCAGAGCCCCAGGTCTCGATGCCTGCAACCCCAGGTCACCCATCCAAGGGCCGTGCCCCCACATGGACTTCCTTTCTTGAGGTCCCAGTCCCTCCCATCTGAGCATCCCCGTTGTCATTCTGGGTCACCTCATTTGTGCAAATGAAGGTGGGGGGACAGGACCATGCTGAGGCTTGTTCACTGTCTCCATGGAAACTGCCAGTGGAGTCAGGGTCCTGGACCCAGATGGAAGAGGAGGTCTCCCAGGCCCGAAGGGTGACTCCAGGAAGTGTTTCTGCTTGGCTTCCCTACTCAGGCTCGACCACGTGCCCTGTTTTCCCTCAAAATCAGCCAGTGCTGGGAGGAAGCGTGGCCCTGGGGTCCCTGGCTTTCCTGGGGGTGTTTCCCCTCTTCTACCAGACATCATGATAGCTGCCAGTCGCTGTCTCTGAGCTGCTGCAATTTCTCTGGTAACTGTGAGGCATCTCCCGGTTCTGCAAGAAATGACAGGACTGGAGAGAGGACAGGCAGGACCAGGAGACTGAGGCAGAAGCTGCAAGAAGCAGGATGCAGCAGAACAGGACAAGGACGGGCAGTTCTGGAGGGCCTTCAACCCATGTCAAGATGGGAGATGGGGACCAGACTCCCACTGTGATGCTCCGGAAGCCCTGACCTCCGACCGGTCAGATTTGGGGAGGACAACGATAGAAGCCCAGGTACAGGCCAGGTACTGAACAGACAGAGTCTGAGCACAGAGAGACGGGTCTCTGGCTCTGTGCCTTCTGCTGATCCCTTCCAGAAGCTCTGTAAAGGTGACCCCGCTGAGGAATCTGCCCTTACCCCAACCACCAATTCATCTTACAGGCACAAACTCAGGTCTTGGCTTTCCGGTGCCCATTGTCCCCTCCTCCAACTAGGGCTGGGGCTGCTGCATCCAGCGCTCACATCTCTGGGGCCCAGCCTGGCTCATTATCAGGCTTGAGGTCATGATAACACCTGCAGCTCCTGGGCTCCTGTGCATATCCGTCCGAGGCCACCAGAGGGAGCTGCTGAGTGCCGGAAACCGGGCTGGGAATGGGCTTCAGGGAGCCGGAACAGGTGTAGGGTTGAGAAATGAGGTGTGTCGGATGCCTTGGTGTTCCCGAAAAGTAGCCTTTCAGGACAATAAGGTGTCCCAATGAAGACTTCTGGACAACTGGAGAATAATGTTTTAGGTTAACTGAACAAAAACAGCTTTAAAGCCATCCTGAATGTGACAGTCATTCTCTGTGTTTCTATAGTTTTGGCAAATGTGTATTGTTTCATGCAATCATTTTAATCAAGTGATACTGTGCCATGTTAAAAAAAAAAAACACAAAACACCATCAAGTATTGTAGATAACTGTGACTGAAGGAAATGCAGGTCACAGAGGGAGATTAGAATAGAGAATGAGAAACTACGTCTTATGAATGTCTAGAGACAGTTTTCACAGGCGCAGAGAGGCAGTCTGTTGGATCTCGTGTTGGCTAAGAATCATTAAAACTTCAGGGCATGGCTTAGAAAAGAGCCTGAGGTTTAGAGGTGTGGAAAGTGAAGATGTTTCTGTTAAGGAAACATGGTAAGATGGACTCAAAGGCTAATGGCTATGGTAGGGTAGGGTGAGGGGTGATTCCGTTCTGTGCCAGAATTTGAACTTGAAATTTTCCAGGACTCTAGTTTATTTTTAGGAACTTACCGCTCCATGAAGAGAAGACACCAACTAAAACTGAACACTGGAACCAGCATTTAGTTCAAAATACCTCCATGAATTGCAAGAGGTCTTTACAATATTAACGGAATATTAATGGAAGTCAAAGAAGAAAGAAATCATTTTTTTTTAGAAAAACATGCAAAAGACTCCTTCCATAACAAAGAATGGGGTGAAAATGAGTAACGATGATCAAAGGAGGTGGAGTTGTATAAAAAAAATAACTCAACTACCAGAAAATGAGTAAGCCTACAAACTCAGGAAAGTAACTCAGGAAGAAAACCATGGCTTCTATGTTTCAGCTCAAGTGCTCTCTAGAGAGATGATACAAGCTATAACCTGTGGCTGGTACTTGATGCATCCTTTTTTAATTAATTATCTTAATTGGAGGCTAATTACTTTACAATATTGTGGTTTTTTGCCGTACATCGACATGAATCAGCCAGGGGTTTACATGTGTCCCCCCATCCTGGAGCCCCCACCCACCTCCCTCCTCACCCCATCCCTCTGGGTTGTCCCAGAGCACCGGCTATGAGTGATGCATCTTTTTAAAACCGTTTTTTAGAGCAGCTTTAGGTTTGAGAGTGGACTACAGAGATTTTTCAGATACTTCCTGCCCACCGTACACGCATAGCCTCCCTGATTATCAACACCACTCACTGGACTATTATATTTTCTATGATGAATGCATCTACACTGACACATCATAATCACCTAAAGTACATAGTTTATCTTTGAGTTCACTGAATGTATATTCTATGGGTTTGGGACAAACGTGTACTGGCATATATCCATCATTATAACATCATAAATAATATTTAAAACCCTTAAAATCTTCTGTGCTCTGCCCCCTGCATTGGGAGCTCCAAGTCTCAGCCACTGGACCACCGGAGAAGTCCCATGTCTGACTTCAGCGTCTCTAGTGCTCAGTACATAGCAATGTGTATTTGGTGAGTGAATAAGTGACTGATAAAAATGAGTTTGATAATTAACTCCTCCCAAGTCACTTTCCTGAGGAAGCCATCAGTTCATGGGTCCAATTCCTACTATCCACTCAGTTCTTATTATTTTATTTTGACACATTGTTTCATTTAAATCCTGCAACAATGATGCCAGGTAAGCATTATATCCCTATTTTACAGAGAAGAAAACTAGGATTCAGGCCATTGAAGCATCTTGCCCAAGTCAGAATTGCTTAACCAGAAAAGGTTATCGCCACCTTTCCAGAAAGAACAAGATGGTGGTGAGGCATCATCATTGCTTCTGGAGAAGGGGCAAAAAGAAGTTGTGTATCACTAGAGTATTGCTTATTTCCGACCTTAGGGTGCAGTCCCAGAGCTTGGACACACAGTTACTCTGCAATCAAACCTAAGTAAAGTGAAAGTCACTCAGTCGTGTCCCACTCTTGCGACCACTCGGACTGTAGCCCACCAGGCTGCTCTGTCCATGGGATTCTCCTTCTCCAGGAGATCTTCCCGACCCAGGAATCGAACCCGACTCTCCTTCATTGCAGGCAGATTCTTTACCAATTGAGCTATGAGGGAATCAAACGTATTTAGAATCAGCCTGGACACAGACTTTTCCTGGTGACCGGGGATTCCTTGAATCTCCCATCAAGCACAGTTGGGACAAAGATCTTAATATGCCCCCGTCATCCTTCACAACAAATTTAAGGCGACAGAGTAAGAAAGCTAAGATGCTCTTCCCCTATTCCCCCTCACCCCCCTCTTTTGGTCTCTTCCAATCTCCTTCTGGGGCTGGAAGCCCAAGGTGAGCCTTATCACTTCCACTCCCACCCCTTCACCCCCGCCCCCTTCCCGCCCGGCTTCCCCACTGCGGGGTCGCAGGGCTCTGCCTTCTTTACTTCGCCCTTCAACTCCTGGCGTACTTGCAAGCCCAGCCTCCTTCCAGTCTTGACCTGCTTCCCGTGAGCCTCTGCTTTTGGCCCCCAGAGGGCATGCTCCCTACCCAGCAGTCCTTGCGCGGCCTGGCCGAGCGGACGGCAGGACTCCAAGATGGCGTCAGTCGGTGAGTCTCCGGGTCCATTTAGGGCTACTCGGGTGGAGGCAGGAGTCGGGGTTTGGGGCCCAGTGCCCAGAGTCACACTGGGAAGAGAGGGACAGAGTGCAGGAGCCGCCTCCCCTTCGCTCAGGACCTTCGCCGCGCCCTCACTTGAGGCCTACCGGACTCTGTTCAGGGTCCAGCGCCGCCCGACCCTCCCCCGCTCGCACAGCGGTGCCTCCTGGCTGCCCAGAGCCGGCGCCGCTCGGCTGCGGCCGGGAGGGCGACGGCATCCCGGCGACGCGCCTCGGGGCCTGGGAATGCGCGCCTGGGACCACCATCCTCTCCCCGCTGAGGAATGGCACTCTCATCCATGCTCTGGCAGTTTCTTTGCACCTGAGCCCTCCGTGTTAAGCGGAAGCTCAAATTAAGTTCCCGGGGGAGCTATGCCTGGGACAGAGCCTGACACAACGGAAGGGTCGACGCTTGAGTGTGTTGAATAGGCTTAGAGAGGTGAAGTGACCTATTCAAGGTCACTAGTGGTGCATGGGCTGAGCTGGGATTCAAACCTAGGCTTCTGGGGTCTTGTGGTAAACTGAGCTTTTAATCACACAAGTGACCGTATGACCGTCAGCCTTTTCGATGATACGCATGTATAAATCTCTACACTCACCAGACTCCACACTGATTTTTTAAGAAATACTGAAACCGCCATGTTTTAGCTCTGGAGCCTCACAGTAACCTTGTCAGCGCCAGGAACGTTGATCCCATTTTAAAGGTGAGGAAAGTAACAGGTCAGAGATGTGGTATGGCTTGCCTGTGGTCACACTGCATGATAATGGCAGAATTCGACTCATGGGTCTGTGTGTTCCTGCAGTTTCTATATTCTTAAATCTCAGCCTGGAGAAATGAAAAGGGGGTCAAAAAAGATGATAACGATGCTTTTTTTTTTCATCTGTACGAACGGGCATGAGGATGTTTATCCAGGGTAGTTGTGTTGTGTAGACAGGACAGCATGTGAAAAGGAAACCTTGAGTCTTGGTTTGTTATTGTAGCAGAGAGTTGTGGAGAGCACTGTGAACTAAGGGTTAAACACCTGATGGTTGTAAGGTGCTCGGAACACCGCCTGGGCCACTGTTGAGTGCTGTCATCCAGCTTTCCCTGTGTGACCTTTGGGTAAGGTCATGTCACATCTGGCCCATTAGTGTCACCCAGGTGAAGGAATTGGAGTCCATATACTGATGAGCTTTTAGGCGATCTCTGTCACCAGAGCATAAAGCCATGAATTCATTATCAGATAAAGTGATGGAAGTACCAACAGGGATAGATGAAATCTGGGTTGACAGAGTGGCCAATCAGCTGGATTTCCTGTGGCCTATTTTTTGTATGACCTGTGAACCAAGAACAGTTTTTATGTTTTTAAAAACTATTTGTTCAGGGACTTCCCTGGTGGTCTAGTGGTTAAGGCTCTGTGCTTCCACCGTGGGGCTGGGGTGGGGGGTGGGGGTTTGGGTTCCATTCCTGGTCAGGGAACTAAGATCTTGCCTGACTTGCAATGTGGCATGTGTGCATAAATAGTTGTGTTTTCTTAAGACTATGTTACAGAGACCTTGTGTGACCTGCAAAACTTAAAACCTTTCACTCTCTGGTTGGATTTAGCACACAGAAGACATTTGTGTCTTTTCGTGTCTCTCCATATAGGTGGGACAGTATGCTTCTTGAAGTCATAAAATCAAGTCAGGTAGTCACCTGCCCTCCCAAGAACCTGTGGTCTTTTCTTAACCTTCAGTGAAATTCTGTCATGACCAGGAACTGTGTGTGGGGAACTCCCACCTTCAGATAGCTCACAGACAGGCAGGAAGACAGATAATAATAATTCCTATTTACATAGTACCTAGAGTTCAGTAGCAAGGTGGGTACTATTCCTACTTTATTTTACAGAAGAGGAAACTGAGGCACAAAGAGGGCAGTAACTTGGCTGAGGGCACACAGCATCAAAGTGGCACTAAACCCAGAGTACTTGATGGTGGAGTCTGCTCTGTTCATCACCACGCTCCACTGGTATGAACCAGCCACTGCAGAGGAGTGTTGGGCGAGGACCAGTATGCAGCCAAGGACTAAGGCCTTGTGTTCTGCTGAGAGAGAAACTCTTGGGAGTGAGTGAGTGTGCATGCATCTCTGATGAATCTGATGGTCTCCTGGAGTTTTGTGATGGTGCTGTACTTGGCTCTCCTTAAGGCTAATGTGTGTGTGTTTGTTGTATTTTTTTCCTGTGCTTATACATTTCTTGGTTTTGGTTACAGAAATGCTGTCTTCTTCATAGTACAGATATATAACTCTTGGAGCTACTCTCCATGGGGTTGCAAAGAGTCAGACATAACTGAGTGACTTAACCATCACCACAGATACATAAATATGAAGAAAAATAAGTGGTTGACATTTTTTCTCCTGTGATGTGCCAAGGCACTTGTCAGCCCCTGAACAAGAATGCAGGATATGTGAATGTTTTCATGGTCTGTGTGAATGTGCCATTAAACCTGATGATGGCCCTTGCTCTTGGTCAGAGCTCATGGTGGGATTCCCCCGCCCCCGAATTCTCAAGGTCGGACCTTAAGGAGCCCAAGCCCTTCCTGAGATATGAAAATGGAGAAGAAACCTTGGAATGATTAAATCCAGCTCCTTCTGGTCATCTTTAAGCAGCAGCAGTACCCCTCGACTCCTTGCTCTGAAGAGTACACCTGCCAAACAACCTTTTAAAGTGAACGTCTGGGAAAAGGACAGCAGAGGAGAGACCATTTCCTCCTTTTATGAGCATATGAATCTGAGCGTTCACAGGGCCAACCCCTCCCTGGCCCCTTTCCTATTTTACTCTTAAGTCCGGAGATGAATGCAGTATGGCCTCAGACAAGAGCCCTTCCTGTGTCTAGATTCTCATTGGGAAATGATCTGGGGCCCATGGGGCCTCTGAAATGGCTTTTAGTAAGTCATTTGACATCTGTGGTCTGAGGTGGGATGCTTGAGGTAGGAGTCAGATTGGCTTCAGGAGCATGGGAACCAGACCTGAGGTCGAGTTGTGCCTCCACGGCCTGCAGGCTCTCTGTCTTTGTTCAGGATTCACCGACTTCTCTGAGTCAGTTTTCCCCACCCCTCCTTATAAAATAAAGGCATCCATCCTCCACTTTTATCTCTTCTTCATGGCCCTTAGTTCTCTTTTTACATAGTTATTCCTAGCAGGCTGTTATTCAGGATCTTGTTCTGCGATATATAGACTCTGGCTTAAGATAATATATTTGCTGTGACATGTTTACCCATCATATTACTTACGTGCAGCCTCTGTTTAGTGATGTTATTGAATGCATCATTATTGAGTGGTTGACGTGACACAGACAGATGCTGTTTGTGTTACTGGGAGACCCTTTCAGTGGGTGTGTTTTTGCGTTGTCCTTTTCAGTACCACTGAAGGAGAAGAAGCTCCTGGAAGTCAAACTAGGGGAGCTGCCAAGCTGGATACTGATGCGGGACTTCACCCCTTCGGGCATCGCTGGAGCATTTCAAAGAGGTCAGAGCCTTATGGGCATGTGTAAATAAGAGCAAGCCTCTGGGTCTTCAGGTCTTTTTTTTGCCCTGAATTAACTTGACCAGTTTTAGACCTGAAAATTATGTAGAGGACAGAGTGAGATTATTAGGCCTCGAATTTCCATGTTTGATGGGTCCTGTGAAAGGCTGGCTTGAAAATATTTCAGATAAGAATATGTTTTCTCTTGTCTGGAATGTGTACCACTGCCTCTGTGTTAAAGAAATGTCCTAAGCCTACAGAAGAAGATGAGCTGGAAGCACAGGGGATACCAGTCTGCGATGCTCGTCTCCCTGCGAGCCCAGACTTCCAGGATGGACGTTTGAAATGGTCTTTCAGGTCTGTCCTTTTAAAGTGCGTGACCAGGCAGATCAGTCCTGTGTCATGTCATGGGACCTGTGGTCGCCAGCCCCCCCGAGGGGTGGGGCAGGGGGCTTATTCTGTTTTCCTTTCTAATTCTGACCAGCCTTTGCTGTCTTTTGCGATCCGTTTCCTCCTGTCCTGGGGCCTGTCCTCAGCTTTGCCCTCTCCCGTTAGAATGTGTCCTCAGAGGAGTGGCCTCCTCCTGTTTGCAGGCTACTATCGGTATTACAACAAGTACGTGAACGTGAAGAAAGGGAGCATTGCGGGGGTCTCGATGGTGCTGGCGGCCTACGTGTTTTTCAACTACTGCCGCTCTTACAAGGAGCTCAGTGAGTCTCTTCTGGGTTGCTTTGCCTCTGGTGGGGTTTCCCCTGATAGGGCGGGATTGGTTCACCTTCTCATTTAGAAGTCATGCCACAGACAGCTGAAGAATTGGAGAGACCTACCAGAATATGGCATGAGAAAGAGAAACTGTGGCAAAGAGAAAGACAGGAAAAGTAAGATGAACATGAGGTGAAAAATTTAGGCAGCATTTTGTCAGATACTGCAGGCTCTGCCAGAGGTTGGTGGGAAACTTGGCTTCATCTTCCTAGCAGCCAGTGTGAAGAGGGAAGTGGGTTGAGGGCTGCAGTCTATTTGTGAGCTCTGGAAAAGCGTGGCGTCTCCCATTCTGAGATCTGAGAGGAGTCTGTCTGGAGGGAGAGGCCAGGAAGTGTCGGCAGGGGCCACTGACTGGGCTTCATGGACGGTGCACGCCGGTGTCCAGCCCCCTGCCGGCCTGGGGCATCCCGAGCAGCGCTGGCCCTGAGGGTGGCTGCTTGGGTGGTTTCTTCTGAGCGGGAGCGCCTTCAGGGAAGGCGGAGCTGGCTGGGGGGGCAGATGAGCTCCTGATTCCACAAGCAGGCTGTGGGGTGTCTCCTGAAAGGAGTTCTCAGGAGGGCTTCACATGGATTTGGCCCACTCCCCTCCCTGTCGTCCTGTGCTTTCTCCAATGGTGAAGAAACTACCATTTTGCTTTTCTGACTCCAGAACACGAGCGGCTACGCAAGTACCACTGAAGAGGGCGCACTCTGCATTCCTGACCATCACCTTTGCCCAGCACCCCCAAATCCTTTCATATCCTAATGGAGAATTAACATCCAATAAAACATGACTGGTACTTGGACTGCCTCACTGGCTCAGCCGATTGCCTGCCCTGTAGCTCCTCCTGCTGCACAAGCTGGGGTGGGGTGGTTCTACAGCTCCCAGAGGGAACTGTCAAGACAGCCCAGGACTTTGAACCTTGAGCTTCAGGATCTTGCCCCAGTGTCCTGGAGGTCACCTAGTGCCCCGTCAATAGTACTAAGGTGTTTATCTTCTCTCTGCCTCACTTTTGGTCTTTTGTCAGCTGAGACACTCACAGTATAAGGCAGATGCCCTAGTTCCTAAGAATGGTCTCCCGTCCCCCATCTTTCTGCACCATCCTGGGCTATTGGGATCTCAGGGAACCAGGCACGTGGGCTCATCTGGTCCTGGTAAGTAAGCCTCACTTGCAGGAAGGCCAGCGGGAGGACACAGGTGGGAGGGGAAAGCACAAGTCCCAACAGGAGCTCAAGACTGCTGTGTCCAGCAACCTCTTACACTTCACCAGAGGCCTTTAGTAAAGTGACAGCAAGGTCAGAATCAGTTTCTTACTAAGGGGTGTGTGGTGAGCATATACACGCGTGGAGTGTCAGGGGTGAGATGCTGTGTCTGATTACCTCCCGCACGATCTGAAGTTGAAAGAACCAGACTCCCAACATCTGAGATGAGGGACGCCTGCCAGGTGACTGTCTCCGTGACCAGGCTTCCAGTACACCGCCCTGACGCCCCAGCGTCACTTCGTGTCGTGAGATTACATTCGCTCAGAGGGCAAGAGGGAGCACCACCGTCAGCCAGCAGCAAGGACCCTGTCCTTGTCATGGAGTCCCTGAAGTAATGAGACACAGCTTACAAAACAAGCTTTAATCAACTTCATAGAAATGGTTCCTGTAGTTGAACTCGAATAGGCCCATTTGCCCCGCAGGTTGCAGGTGCCGGTTTCACATTTCCAGGCTCAGAGGCAGGGGCCTCTCCTCTGGGCCCATGGTGTCTGACAGTTCAGATGCTCGATGGCCTGGGAGGTAGGTGCGCAGGTGGACTGCGTGTCTGTGGGAAAGCTGGCGCAGCTCCAGCTAAGGTGTACCTTAAACACCGTCAGGCAGGTGCCCCGGGAAGATACACCCAGAGGAAAAAGGCCATCACACCTGACAGCCTTGGCCCTGCACCCTTCCTCAGCCGTGGCCACCAGGGAGCAGGACCCGGCTGAGGTAGCAAGCACATGAGCTTGCCCTGGGGGGCTGCCTCGTTCAAATGCCACCAACAGATGAGCCTCTGATTCAGGACAGGGAGGAAGCGGGCACGACCTGGCTGCAGCTTTAAACACTCCGCCAGCCCCTGGTGTTTAAGGAGGCCCACACCAGAGGGGAAGGGCTGCCCTCTCTACAGAACTGCTATAAGCACAAGCCCTTTCCCACAGCTCCCTCCCTCCTGAGGGTGGTGTGCAGAGTCCCAGACAGGAGGCCAACCTGAGGGGCCAGACTGGCATATGTCCCCCTTTTAAAGGAGATTACAGCAAAATGACGGGGATACTGACAAGACGGAGCCCCTAAGGATAAAATCCAGGTGCCTGCCTGCCTGCTGGCTCCAGCCAGAGCTGCACCAACGCTGGCATTAAACAGTTAACGCACACTCCCAGGAATGGCCCAGAGCGCCGCCGGCACGGGGCCCCCCAGGCTGCTCTGAGCCGGCTCCAGCTGCTGTTACTGTCCGCTGAGAAAGGCCAAGTGCCCTTTGGTGCATCTGTTGGCGTAGTGTCCTTTTTCACCACACTGGGAACAGCGGGGAGGGAGGGAACAAACAGAAAACACCATTTCAGATGCAGTTCTCAACTGAGGCAGCACCCCACCCAGTACCAGGCTGGGGACAGGGACGCTGCAATTCTGGGGTATACAGACTCATTCAGGTGGGAAGGGAGTTCCAGAAAGGCAAGTGGCCCAGGAACCACAGGCAGCAACTAACTCAGCAGGCAGAAGAAAGCACGTGGCCACGGCAGCCTCTGGTGTTCGGGTTCAGAAGAAAAGCCCAGGGCACCAGAGCGCCCCGCCTGAGCAGGGACCACGCCCCGCTGCACCTGGCCGGCCGGTCACTTACCTCTGAGGCACAGCTCTGGGACTCCCCGGGGACAGGGAGGCGGCAACGCGGGAGAAGCCCCCAGGCTGCTCCCCCAACTCAGGGGCTCTGTGCGTGGACAGAGGGTGGGCTGCACCCAAAGGGCTCTCCCTCCTGGCTCCTAAGTATGCTCCTCCTGCATACTTATCTAAGCTACCCCTGCGCCAGGTTTGGTCACAGGATCAGAGAGGTGGGAAAATTGATTAGACTTGGGTCAACAGATCTGGCAGAATCTCCTCAAAACATCTAGCACTGACCCTGAATTCCTGTCCCTGCTGACGATCCAGACCCTCCCTCAGTTTCTCTTCATCCATTCTCCTTACTCCTCAGAGAGCACAAGGGGATTGTAAGGAAGGAAAAGGCAGCCTCAACCACTGAACAAGGGGTTGGGAGACAGACAGGGGCACCCATCTGACACCAAACCCCGAGCGCCCTCTCAGTCCTCACTTCCTCGGTCTGGAACTTGGGGCTTTGGCCTGTTCTACCCCGACCCCACAGTCCCCGAGTTCTCGAGCCCGTCTGACCTGCAGGTGTAAGCCGTGTGCACGAGTGGCCTGTATGGCCGCCAGCTGGGCCTTTGGTAACCAGAGGGAGGGACTGAGCGCCTCCACTTACAGCACCTGGCATGTCTACTGGCCTCCCGGAGTCCCGAGGCGGCTTTAATATCAACTGTGCCCGCGGCACGAAGGGGTGGTCAGGTTTGTCCCCTAACCCCGTCTTTCTATGGAAGATGGCTCTTCAGAGGCCCTGCTGAGTCCTGGAGGGGCGAGGCGACAGCACAGCTGACCCAGGACGCCCGAGGCGCCTGGCTGCACTTGAGCACTGCCTGGTCCCTGGTCGGAAGCCACCTGACAACCTCCCCCTCACTCACCTGCTTTCACAGCCCCTTTCCACACTCTCCTCGCTGGTCAGGGCTCAGGCTCATAAATTTGCGAGGTCTTCCCTATACACATGGGCACTCCTAACTGGTGTCTGGGCACCTGCCTCCCCCTCCCTCAGAACACAGACCCCTCCTGGGAAGGAGCGACGGCAAAAGGTCTCCGCAGAGGAGGTGCTCAGCGAGTGTCTGACGGCCATAGTGGCTCAGCCCTTCCTGAAGGCAAGTTCTAGGGACAATATAAGCGTATAGTTTTTGACTCGGCCCTTCTACTTGTGGGTGCTCGAGACGCCAGACAAGAGCTCACCAATGTCTGTCAGGCTTAGTGCTGTTTTTAGCAGCAAAAACTAGAACTAATTACCAATAGAGAACTGGTAAAATTATGGAGCCACTGAAAGACCTTGGAGTAACTTATCCTGACACAGACTCAGAATGTAAGGTAAAAGGGATCCGAGGACACTACACCCGAGGGCCCTGTTTATATTAAAGATCATCTTGTCCTTGTGCTCGTGTGAGTAGGTTCAGAAGAGCACGTCTCCGAGTGGTGCCCCTGTAGGAGCTGTGAGTGCAGAGGGACAGAAAACAGCGTGGTGGGTGGATGGCCACGTGCAGCGGCTTCCCTCAGGAGAGGTGGGGATAAAGGCCAGCACCCACGGTGCACCCCCAGCACTTGTGCGTCATCTAGAAGCCTTCACAAGAAACAGACTCGTTCTGTGATCCGTCTGATCCCCCCAGACTGAAGCCTCTGTGAACCTCGTTCTGCTGGTCGTTTCTGCTCACTCGCTGGTGTCTGTTCCCGTCTATAGTGTTTAGTTCCGAGCTCTCTTCTGGGGAAACCTCATTGTGGGAATTCTGTGTGGGCTGGATTGAGAATTAATATTTCAAAGCTACGTTGCCAGGGGCTGTTTTAGATTAGAAAATGCAGCCTGTGGCTTTTTGGCCCTCACCAAGGCTCAGACTCGAGGAAGGGCTTGCCCACCAGTGACGAATATCTCTGAAAGGACTTTCCTCGCCCACTCTCCACCCAGAGCCAAGAGTTTTCCCTGAAGGCCCCATTTTGTGTGTATGTGTCCTGATTCCTCAGCACACAGACCTAAAGCTTTGTCCCGCCCCTCAGGTGTGCCGCGTGGGGTGTGAGGACCCCTCCCCCGCAGAGGTTCAGGGCTCACTCCGTTCCCGGGCTCTGGAAGACCCCCATCCCTTTCTTGCGTGCGCAATCTGTTCACGCAACAGCAGCTGTTTAGCTGTTAACCTGGCCTTAGTGTGTCGTGGAAGTGGCATGGTCTAGCTCACCGGAGTGGCCCCGTTTTGCTCTTCCAATTAGCAAAAATAAAGATGTCTTCATTCTTCAACATGAGCTAACTCTCTGGGGAAGGAGGGAATGACCATGGACTGTGAAAGACGCCCCCGCCAGCCCCAGGACTCACCTTGTAGCAGGTGACCTGCTCCAGCGGCCGGGGTCCTCGGTTGCCTGCACTGCTGTTTTGACTCTGCATGACCCCGATGACCTGCGGGGTTCTCTGCTGGTTGGGAGAAGAGTTCTGACTCGTTAACTGGATCAAGGAGGACGACCTTTGTAATGGCGGATTGTTACTTTGCTGGAAAGAGTTACACAACACGGTTTTACTGCGGAAAACACGTGCAGGCAGACTACCAATGGGGAGAGGAAAAAAGAGAGCGGGCTTTCTCCCGCACGACCGTGACCGTGACCAGCAGGAAGAAGGGCTTCCGTGGCGGCCCCACTCGGGAGAGCAGGCGGAAAAGAAACGTCTGGTGATGATGGCAGGAGCCGCTGCCCGAAAAACACCATGCAGACACACAAAAACGAAAAAGAAAAGTGGAAAACAAAACACCAAAGAGACAGGCGGTCTCTGGGGCGGCAGGGCGAGGGCATGAGCAGGCCTTACTTTTGTTTGTGAGGTTCTAGCTTCAGGTCAGGATGAACGCTTGGTTCAGCCAGCTGTTTAGAGCCTACACGGCGGGCAACAGTCACAGAAACGAGTCGGAGGCTGACACGCTGACCTGCGGTCTAGGGGCTGAAAGGGCCCTCCGCTAGGGAGCAGGGGGGACGGGGCACCTCGGCCGGGCCCGACCCGGTGGGACCCTGCGTCTGGGCCCATCAGTGCAGGAGCCCGGGCTGGGGACTGGGAACGCCCGGCTCTGCTGACAGCAGTTCTCCTGGTTTATCCCACACACTTGGGGTGGTGGGGGTCAGGGTGGTGAGGGTGGCCGCGTCCCCTCCCAGCTGCTCGACCTCCAGCACAGACGGGGGCCAGACTGGGCCCCGACAGTGGGCTCAGAGTCCAGCCAGGTGAGAGGTGAGGCTTCACGACCGGCGGGCAGCTCATCAGCCTGCTGAGACCCCACCGGGGACATCCGCCTGGCCTTCCTCCAGGACCTGACCACCGCCCGTAACCAAACCCAAAGTGCCCTTTGTTTGAGGGGCACTGCCACAGATTCCCATGTGTTCAGGGCAGTTCCCTCTCCTTATGCTTGAGGGGAACGGCCCACTGTGGCGTGGGTGTGGGGCCCCCTTGTCTAGGAGACTGGAGCCAGCTGGTCCCTCAGCCTCTGTGCCCAGCATCCCTTCCCACAATTGGGCTGGGCCAGAGAAACAGGCAGCCTCGCCTCTGCTCCTAGGTCTGCTCCCGCCCCGCCGGGCCCCTTGGGCGAGTCCCGTTGTGGAGGGAGGGGTCTGCAGCTAGCATGGCAGACATGGGGCGCCCAGCTGTCTACAGGCCCACAGGCAAGACGGGGAGAGGAGCCTGGCGGGCGCCTGGCTGGAGCAGGCCGCCCTCCACCTCGAGAAGGTGCCGGCCGCTCTGCCCCCTTGGAGTTTCTGCCGGAACCCGGGTGACTCCCCTCCGGGCTCCGGCCCCCGCCCCTACCCTCCTCTCACGGCCTGCCGCCAGCTCCCTGGCGGACCCCACACCGAGGCGGGCGCTGAGGGCGCTGTGGCCAGGGCGCTGCCAGGCTCCGCCGCATCGCGGGCCCGGGGCACGGTACCTTCGTGGGTGGTTGCGTCTGCTGCGGCAGCGGGGGCTGCTCGGTGGTTCCCATCGGCAGTTCAAATCGAGGGCTGGTCACGAGAGGAGAAGAGGAGAGAGAGGAGCTAGGCAGGCAGGCTCCCACGTTCTGGCCCCAGGAAAATCCCAGCCGGCCTCTTGCCGAGCCCAGGGCCACACGAGCCGCCTGGACGGAGGGCGGGGGCTGGCACTCAGCTCCGCCAGGCTGCGGGACGGATCTGAGGCATCTGGACTCAGACCCAGCTCTGCCTGCACCAAGCCGGGAGCCCCGGCGAGCAGCGCTCACAGAGGAAGGACACACGGCTGGAGGGCACAGAGGCCCCCCCGGCACACCCTCCGCTGCAGGGGTGGTGTTAGACTCTGCCCACAGAGTCCTGGGGGGCACGCCCCCCGCACCCCCCGGCCACACAGAGGAACCCCTGGGCCACCTGCAGGCTCCCGGCCTTGCATCTCGGGTGGGGGACCAAGCCAGCAGCACCAGCCACCTGCCCACTACGTGGCAGTGAGCAGGACACGGCTGCCAGGCCGGTGCCAGCAGTGTGGACGGAGGCAGCGAGGGGTGGGGCACCTGACGCTACTCTGGGTCCCAGTGCCGCCACCCACGACCACCCAAAGTGACAGATGGGCACGGAGGCCCAGGGGAGGGGCGCTGGGCCGTGCTGGCAGGAGGACTGGGCTCTAGAGGCCACAGACCTGCCTCTAACCAAGCGCCCCCACCTGTCCCCACCTGCCCCTGGCCAGGGGCGGGGCTTGGAGCCTCAGCGTTCCATTGTGTGAAATGGGGACCTTTTTTCACACGGGGGTCTCTGAACCAGTGAAAAGGGAAGCCCAAGCTCAGTGCCTTCACGTAGGAGGCCCTGCCTGAGACTGAAGTTCCCTTCCATGAGGGCACAGGTTCTTAGCTTGAGGTCATGTGTGTCTGAGTTTTTCTGGAGTACAGGGACCAGAGTTTTTATCTGAGGCCGAGATGGACTGTGACCCAGTAAAGGTCAAACCCTGGTTTAGGCAGAACCACCTCTGGGCTCAGAGCAGTGGTGGCCCCTCCCTGCCTTCCACCCGTTCCCAGACCCAGTCATGACACTGCCCAGTGATCAAAGCCCAGATGGGCCCAGGAGAGACACGGGGGCACGGGGCCTGGTACTCACTGCATGAATTTACAGGAGGGCCCCTCCGGGCAGAATCCCACGAGGTAATTGACACAGATGACTCTCCGCGTGTGCCGGTGCCTGCACAGGGGGCCTGCGGACCGAGCACAGGCCCACTCAGACCGTCTCCTCTTCGGGGGGCAACTCGAGCCCTGCCCACACCGCCACCCCGGGGTCAGAGCACAAGAACAGGGCTTCAGATGCTGGCTCTGACTCCTGTTCAGCAGGGCCGGTGGGCAAGACACACAGCCTCTCAAACACTAGTCTCCTGGTCAGAAATCTAGGTGAGAATGCGGTCCAGGGGCGCCTGTCCTGGGGAGGGACTCGAGGGTGTGACAAAGCCTCACCAGCCCCCAAACGCCTAACACGATGTTTGTAGGAACAGGAGGGACGTGGGCAGAGGGGGGCAGGATGGGCCTCTGGCCGGGAGCCCCGCTCCCCTACACCTACCGTGCTTGCAGAAGCCACGGTCGTACCATGGGCAGTCCTTGATCTTGGACTCGGGGTCGATGTGCAGGAAGGGGCACTCCTTGTTGCTGCACTCCCCTGCGGGGACCAGACAGGCGTCCACCTGGGGGCGCGGGACCCAGACCCACCCCCGATCCTCCAGAGGAGGAGTCCCAGGGCCATGGGACAGCACGGAGGGCTGGGGGTTCCAGTGCCCTGTCCTGGCCCAGCGAGCCCTGAGACCCAGGGCAGTGTGTCTCGGAGCCTCAGTCTTCTGGGCTGTACCTGGGCTGCGACGGTCCTTCCCCCACAGTCTGTGCTGTCTTGGGGGTCACAGACACTGACAGAGGCGGGCACAGGGTTCACCTCGTCAAACAGCTCCCGGCTCTACCCCTCACCCAGAGGCGGTGTCCTGGGCATCGTGGGGGGTCCAGATGTGCAATGCAGCAGCTGAGACCAGTGGGGAAATTACCGGTCTGCGCTGATGCGCTCTTCATGTTGGGACAAGGAGAAGGTCTGAGGACTGCCTCTCAGGACAAGAGGAGGGAAGCTTTGGGAACTCACAGCTGGGGCCCTCTGGTTGTCGTATAGTCGCTCAGTCGAGTCCGACTCTCTGCGACCCTGTGGACTATAGCCCGCCAGGCTCCTCTGTCCATGGGATTTCCCAGGCAAGAATACTGGAGTGGGTTGCCATTTCCTTCTCCAAGCGATCTTCCCAACCCAGGGATGAAACCAGCTTATATTGCCTCTACAGAAAAAGCTACAACTATCATTAACAAGCCAGCAGGTGTACCTGTCAGGCTGCTGAAAGAATCAAGGTCTCCTCGGACAACAGTGCACAGCAGGCTGCCAGCCCCCTGCCTAAGGCCAGCAGTTCCGGGGCCAGAGCCCAGCCTCATCCTGACCAACAGGGCTTCTTCCTGGGCAGCCTCGCCCAAGGCAGAGCCGGGGAGTCTAGTTCCATCGGGGAGCACGTCAGCTGCACTGAGCCCTGGGCCAGCCTTACCGCCCTGGCTTCACAGAGTTCATAAGCTCAGCGGAGACCACGTGTCCTCTGAGCAGAAACAAAGGCAATCTCCATTTCCCAGGTAAAGAGGAGGGCTTTCTGCCACCAGAAGACGGTGCGCCCCACTGGCTGTTCTTAAGGAGTGTTTTAAGGAGATCAGTCCTGAGTGTTCTTTGGAAGGACTGATGTTGAAGCTGAAACTCCAATACTTTGGCCACCTGATACGAAGAGCTGACTCATTTGAAAAGACCCTGATGCTGGGAAAGACTGAAGGCGGGAGAAGGGGATGACAGAGGGTGAGATGGTTGGATGGCATCACTGACTCAAGGGACATGAGTTTAAGTAAACTCCAGGAGTTGGTGATGGACAGGGAGGCCTGACGTGCTGCAGTCCATGGGGTCGCAAAGAGTCGGACACAACTGAGCGACTGAACTGAACTGAACTGACTGAGGACAGACCGGCTCCTACCTGGGATCACACACTTCTAGAGAGAAGGCCTCTAGACACCACTCCAGCAGCAACGGCTGACTAAGGGAGAAGGTTCACTGGAGCAGAAACAAGGCCCCCAGCCAGCTGCCCTGCTCCTGTGCCCGCCGTGAGACCCAGATCTGCCTCAACCTCCCAAAGTGCTTGCAAGTGCTCAGAAAACAGACACACGGGGAGACACAGGGGTCAGGAGAACCTAAGTTCCCACAACTAAAGGGGCTGCTGAGGTTGGCAGGCACCGCAGGCGCCGGAGCAGCTGCTCACGCCCAGAGTCTCCTGCCTGTGGAGCCTCCGGGGGCTCCCCACCCCGCCGCGGGGGGCGCCTCACCGAACTTGGAGTAGAAGTAGCACTCGGGCATCTTGGTCATGTCGTACTCATGCAGGAACTCGCACTGGTCCCCCTTCTTGCACAGCCCCCGCAGCCAGTGCTTGCACACCACCGTCTTCTCACCACTGATGTGGCGGAACGGGCACATGCCCCCTGCCGGGGAAGATGCATGTGAAGACCCAGCGCCCCCGCGAGCTGCGTGTCCTAGAACGTGGTGGCTGCCCTGGCAGGAGGTGGTGTGATTTCAGGCTGCACATGAGCACACGCTTCAGGTTTTAATAGCTGTGGATTTTATTGTGACGTGTCTTGGGAAAATATAAAACATCCAATTGAGGTATCACAAATATTTCTCTAAGACGGAAACTTAAGAAGCCTAAGGGAGGTGGGGGGAAGGGGGGGGCATTTTTCTTAATTTAAAGAAGAGTTCTGGCGATATAAAGACACGTCAACATTTGTAGGAGCAGTAAAAGACTGGGGGTGGGGGAACACACCTAGGGACACCGTGAGTCTGCAGAAAGCAGGGCGAACAAGGGATCCGAGAGCTTGTGGGTCTGCCCAGGGACAGTGTGGTGGAGGGTACCTCGGGGGGATGCAGGAAGCCAGGGTCTCTTACCTTTGCCACAGGCAGCTTTCAAAAAGAATTCACAGACAGCAGCCCCTGACTCTGCAGAAAGAATGAGAGGTGTCAAACAGGGTGAGGTGTGACTGCTACCTGTGACATCTGAACACAGGGTGGGGACCCCTCTGGCCTTTAACCCACGCAGGAGTCCAGGTACAGGAAACAGAAACCTGAGGAAGCAAGGAGAACACTCCCCACTGTGACATCCAGGACCTCCTATAAGCAAGATGCTTTCCAGGAGTCAGAAGTGGATGGGAGAAGGAAGGGTGGAGCACAAGCTCCAGAGATTAATTACTCCCCGCCCAGACCTTCCAGAAGGCCGATTCAGGGGCTCTTTATCCTGAGCCCAGAGGGATGGAATGATCTAGGAAGAACAAGCCAGTGGGGATTCTCAGGAGGAGCCTGCCCCAGAGAAGAGGCGGGTGCCTCGGAGACGCTATTCTGGAGGGAAGAGCGTCACTGAAGACACGGGAGCAGGACTGCTTTTGGTATGCAACGCCAACATGCAATAATAAAAGGGGCACGGACTTCCGCTCCCACAGATGCAGCTGGTTCAGGTGAGGGGAGCAGGAGAATAAAAGCTGAGCGCTGAGAAACCAATGGGGTCCAGGGCTGTTCCAAGGAGCCCAAGAATTCACCTGCCACGGCCACCAGAACAGAAAGTCTGTGGCTTCTCAGTATTCTCTATCAGCAGGCATCTTAGGAAACCCACCGACACCATCTCTAAAGACCACTTGCATGCCTCTGCTTGCTAACTTGCAAGAGACTCATTGGCCTCTTGGAAGCAGGCAGATTTTTCTAGGACAGATTTAAGGTTACAAAAGTAGGAGTCACAGGGGTGTCACTTGTTCGCATTTCAAAAAAGTCTGAGAAGTCTTACTAAAACATTAGAAAAGTACCATTTAAGAGTATTTCTGGGCCTTCATCCTTTACAGAGGTTAAGTCTGTTTCATTCCCTAAAGTCCACTGTCCTGGGGGTCAGGTTTTAGGCAAACAGGATAAAGGAGTTTGCCTTCAGGACAGAACTGATATGCCCACTCCACATCAGGATGGGAATGGGGACCTCCCTGGTGGTCCAGTGGTTAAGAATCCACCACCTTGCAATACAGGGGACAAAGGTTCGATCCTTGGTCAGTAAACTTAAGATCCCACACGTCCCAGAGCAACGAAGCCCGTGCTCTGGAGCGTGAGAGCCGCAATGAAGATTCTGCTTGCCACAACTAGACCCAACACAGCTAAATAATATTTTTTAAAAAAGAATGAGGTGTAGGGATGAGAGAGGAAGGGCCGTGGCCTCCCTGGATTCTAACACACTGACCGTGATCCTGGGCAGGTGGCGCAAGTGCTGAGGGCACTCACCAAGTCAGAGGTAGTACCTGTGGCCAGGTGTGTCCTGGACCCTCTCTAAGAACAGGTTTGTTCTCACCTCTGCACCTGCCCTCAGAGTCAAGTATCTGCTTCCAAGCTGGAGTGGGGAGAGAGGGAGAGAGCTGCCCTGCATGGAAGAGGGCGCCATGGCCTCCAGCTAGTGCCATCGGCCAAGGAAAAGGCCACACGTGTGAATGAATGTATAATCACGGAGTGATCACGTGAGTGGACGAATAGGTTTAAGAGTATCTGAATGTGAGCAGCAGTTTATAAGCCATGTACAGTGGAGACAGTGTAAAGTAAGGCTGTTTGGATTATGTCTCTGCGTTGTGAGCATTATCTTACACGGAAGTGTCAGCGTGAGAGCGACACCTCAGATGTCATGTGTACATGAGAAGTGTGGCCTCTTGAGGGGAATGAGGCTGCAGGGAGACTCGACCAGCCTGGGGACAGGCAGGAGGACCGGGGGCTGCAGCCCATGTCCTCTGGCGGTTATGGGAGACCGCCCGGGAACTGCAGATGGAAAGATCAAGAGCCCTGGTGAGTTCACCTGGCTCCATCTGGAGCTCAGTGGTCTTTGGCAAGTCCTCCCCCCTCCCAGGCCTCAGTTTAGCCCATCTGTGGCTTGAGCTCAATAACTCTAAGAGCCCTCTGAAATGTAATGTTATAGCATTAGATTTCAAGTATGTCTGGAAAGGAGAAAGGAAACCGTTCATTTCTTTTCAAGTGCTATATGTCTCAAGGAATTCCCTGGCAGTCCAGTGGTTAGGACACCCCACTTTCACTGCCATGGCCAGGGCTCAATCCCTAGTGGGGGGACCAAGATCTCAGCAAGCGGGGTGGGGTGACCAAAGTAAATAAATAAAAGTAAAGTGCTAGACATCCCATCTGAGCTGGGGGGATGGGGCCGGGGAAGCCAGGAGCCACCATGTGGTGGGGGAGAGTGAAGTGAAGGGAACTTAAGTAGCTGCCTGGGTGGATGAATGACCCAGAGGTGGGGTCAACAGAAGCACTGAGGAATGGGGTCCCAGGAGCGCGAGTCCTAGGAGAAAAATGGAGTTTGAGAGTCTTCTTGGGGGTCTCCTACAGAGACGGGGAGGTGGGTCCTTCCCACAGCAAGACTCCTTCAACGGCCCAGTTTTGACGAAAGCAAGAAGGCGCTCAAAGTGGGGCTGGAGATGGGGAAAAGGGGCTATCTTAGTACGTCTCTGTAGCTGGAGAGTGTGTGCCAGGGGGGCCGGATTTCCAACCCAGGATACCCGCCTTCTTTTAAGAGTTATTCGAGCTGCCCGACGTCGCCCTGCCTTTCTGAAGCCTGCATTCGAACAGCCCCTGGGAACGGGGGTTCCCTAGTCAAAATAACGGAGGGGGAGGTGTCCCAGGATCAGGGGGAAAGGAGTCCCAAGACCGAGGGGGAGGAGCTCCCGGGCGGAGAGAGAAGGCGTCCGGGAACCAAAGGAGGGAGGTACCGGTGCTGAATCGGTCGCGCCCCTCGCCCGCCCGCCCGCCGCGACCCCGCGCTCACTGTCCATGCCGGGGAAGGGCAGCGGCTGCGCCCCAAGCTGCTGCTCCACGGCGATCTCCAAGTCGAACTTGATGTGGTCCACGCTGGCGATGATTTCCTGCATGGTGGCGGCGGCGGCCACACCGGCCCGGCTCCCGCTCAGATTCCCGGCCGCCCTCACACCTCTACCCGCCGCCGGCTCAGCCGCACACGGCGCCCCGCAGCCTCGCCTCGCCTCGCCTCGCCTCGCAGCAGCAGCCGCCGCCGCCGCCGCCGCCGCCGCCGCCGCCGCCGCCGCCGCCGCCGCCGCCGCCGCCGCCGCCGCCGCCGCCGCCGCCGCCCGAGGGATGCCGGGAGCTCCCGGAGCCCGCGCCGGCCCTTTTCGCCTGTTCAGGCCGGGCCAATGGAGAGCAGAGCGCGGGCCGCTCCGCTAGGCTCGACTAGCCGCTCACCGACCGTCCCACCTCCGTGCGCGACCTGAAGCCACGCCGGGAGTTCGCGACGCGTACTGGGCCTGCGGGAGATCGGCCGGGGCGCACCTGGGAGAGCGCGTTGGAGACGCGGAGCCGGGGACGCGGCGCGGCGTGGCGGGGTCGGGCCTGGCCGTGACGCGAGGCGGGGCGGGGGTGGCGCGGACTCCGGGGCCGAGGTGCGGGCGTGTTCACTGGGCCGGACTCCTGGAGTGAGTTTCTCATTTGACCTTCTCAGGAGCCCGGGCGCCCGGCGAAGGCGGGCCAGAGGGCCTGCAAGGATCGCTGCAAGGGTCGGAGGTGGAGGCCTCTGCTGAGGGGACCGGTTTAGGCCTGTGGAGGGAGGGCTCGGGTCGGCCTGAGGTACCCCGGAAGGGTCTGGGGAAGGGTGAGTCCCCCTGGGGGAGGAGGGCGGCAGCGGGTCTCTGATTCAGGGATTATTAACCCCGGGCTGGTGGAAGAACTCGGGGAGGAAGAAATTACACCTTTATTGTCATAAGTGAAACTTCCCAAGTCTTTCCTCACCTGACGTTGTCTGTGCCCAAAACGAAGTCGCGATTGCAAATAGGGATGAGTGTAAATGATGGAGATAAGAGTATCCACAACTCCTACAACTCATTTACAGTCATCGCTGCTTCATCAGATCGATAGGACCTTGTTACTTAATGCCTGGAAAAGAAGACTCTATAGTTATATAGCATGAGTCTGTTTTAAAAGCATCCTGGTAGCAATTTCAATATCCGTAATTACAATTCTCTCTTTTGATTAATGTGTGTAAACCTTTTATTTAATGTGGCTACTTGAAGATTTAAAATTACATACTGGCTCGCACTGTGTTTCTGTTGGAGCCTCACCAGGTGCAGAATGGTACAGATGGTAGTTTATCGGGTGCTCACCGTCCTGTGCCTGCACCCTAGTATCTTGAGGTTAGATCGTTGCCATGTGGGTGATGTTATAGGTAACTCCACTTTACAAGCAAGGAGACTGAAGGCCAGAGCAGTGAGTGCCCAGGGACACAAGGATGGTTTGGTGGTGCTGCAGTCTGAACCCGGGCTTTCTGACCTCAGGACTCACGCTTGTGCCACTTAACCGTCTTCCTTCCGCCTTTTGTGACAACGACATCGACTTTCATTATTCTGCTGACCTATACCAGGCCCCGGAGGAGAACGCCAGAAATGGACTTCGTGAGGCTTGCTCGGCTCTTCTCCAGCCCCCGCCCCGTGGGACTGTCCATCCTGTGCCACCTTGACCCTCTCAGAGCCCAGTGGGCTGGAGGCAGGGAGGGACCCGCGTGGCCTAGGGCCGCAGGGTGGATTCGGCCAGCGCCAGCAGCCTTCTCCAGCTCTCTCTCTCAGCTGCCCCTCGGCTCGCAAGGCCAGAAGAACACAGGCAGCCTCAGCTCTGACCCCGGCCAGCCCAGCCCCACGGCCACCCAGGAGGAAGGGGAGGAGGAGAGCTTTGGGATGCTCTCCGACAAATACTCGTCTCGGAGAATGTTCCACAAATCGACAGCCCAGCTATATAACCTGCGGCTCAAGGAACAGAATATTGAAGAAGATGAGGAAGGGGAGCTGGAACCAAAACCACGGCGGGGCCCCAGAAACACCCCTTACTGGTTCTTCTTTCAGTGCAAACGCCTGATCAGGGAAGGAAAGGTAGGGAAACTTTGGACTCTGCTGCTCCTGACTCCTGCTTCCGTCTTTTGTGAGGGGCCACCCTGCCCTCCTGTGGGATGCTCAGGGCTCCTCTCCCCTCTGTCTTCATTTCCCCCAGTGCTGCCTCAGGCGACCCTCCAGCCTCCTGGCTTCCCGTTCCCCCTCCTCGATGCCATTCTCATCTTCCTGCTACCAGCCCAGCCGTCCCCCGGGCTCTCCATCTGTGTATCCAGCTGCCTCCTCACCATCTCCATTATACTTACCCTCAGTGGCCTGGCATTCTTGTTCCCAACCTCGATTTCTCTACACTTTGTTCATCTCACTAATTGGCAACCTGGTTTTTCCATTCGTCCAGGCCAAATCCCTTCACCCCTAAGTCTTCTTTCTCCCGCCAACTCTGCCTTCAAAGTGTCTCCCATCCTAACTTCTCACAACCCTCCCCCTGAATGCCCAGGCCTAGCCTTCTCCTCCCCACTTCCCCCACCCCTCCCCACCCCCATCAGCTGTTATGACACTTGTCACTAGTCTCCCCGAGGCTCTCTCCACCTCTTACCCCGACATGGACTTCAAGCCGTGAGCAGAGATCAGGTGGCCCTTCTCCTCCCTCTAGCACTCCCCGTGTATTCAGTGACAGTGGGGGTGTTCAAATATCTCTTGGCAGTATATGTTGAATCTTTTGTGAATGAAGTGATAAAATGTCTGGAATTTGCTTTTAAAAAAAAAAAACTGAGTTGGAGGGAGGAGTGCAGGATATTGATGAAACAAGATTGGCCAAACATTAATAGTCTTTGTAATTACACCTGTCTACTCATGTGTATATTTGAGATTTTCCGTAATGAAAAGTTGAGAAATAAAGAGAAGCCAGAGTCCTCATGATAGCTTATGAAGCCTGCAAAAACTGCCTCTTCTTCCCTGTCTGCCTGCATCTCCCCTCCTTCACTCTCTCCCCTGCAGCCACACCCCCCACCCCCCCAGGTCCCAAGCACACTCCTGCTTCAGGGCCTTTGCACTGGCTGTTCCCTCAGAGAGCCGCCTGGCTCCTTCCCTCACCTCCTTCAGATCCTCATTTACCTGGGCATTGCCGCTGTGCTCGCGGAGTTCCCCTACAGTTGAGGGGCCAAGAGCGCTCACAGGTGGTGGGAGTCTGGTGGGCTTTCCTTCCTGGCCACCACGAGGTCCCCTTGCAGTGGAGCACAGGGACCAGGAGGCTGGTGGCAGAGGCCCAGGCTGCGTGTTTGGCTCCTGGGCCAGCCTGGGCTTGAGCTCAGGGAGGGTCCCTTAGCCTTGGTCTCCATCCCTCTGCTGAGCCCCCTTTCTTGTGTCCCCCCTTCCCCAACCCCTTCCGCAGCTGGCCGAGGCCCTGGACCTGTTTGAGAGGCAGATGCTGAAGGAGGAGTGCCTCCAGCCCCTCGAGTGCAACTACACGGTGCTGATCGGGGGCTGCGGGCGGGCCGGCTACCTGAAGAAGGCCTTCAGGCTCTACAATGACGTGAGCATGGGGCAGGGGGGCAGCAGGCCAGGCGCCCTACAACACGGGCTTTGGGCCCCAGAAGAGTTGGGTGCAGGTCCTGAATGTGTTCCCTGCTAGTGCATTGCCCTGGGGGGACAGTTTCACCTCTCCAGCCTGTTTTGTGGTCTTATCACAGCTGACATTACCTGGGCCAGAGTGGTTTATCCACCACGAAGGTGCCCTTTCCAGCCACTTTTCATTGAGTGTCCTTCACATCTTTATTATCGTTACTGGTTAGCTATTTGCCTGTCGTGTGTCTCCCCTGTAGAGAGTAAGCTCAGTGGAGACAGGCCTTGCCTGTTGTGGTAACCCCAGTAGCCAGTGCCTGGCCTGTATTAAGTCCTCAGTACACGTCTGTGGAATATGTGAGCACATACAGAGTGTCCCCCCATCCTCAAAGTTGGGATCACCATCTTCATTTCTCCAGTGAGGACACTGAGGCCTGGAGAGACGCAGTGCCATGTTTAAGTGTCAGCACTGTCTCGAGCGCTGACATGGAGGTTGAGCCCAGCCGCGGCCTGAGAGCAGGGTTCTGGGCGCTCTGCTGCAGCTGCTTGCTGCCCTTGGTCAGGTGGCCTTTCTCTGGGAAATAGCGAGCACTTGCCTTTACCAGGAGCTTCTCAAACTCCGTCCCCTGGAGGGCTTGCTAAGCAGTGTCAGCCAGGCCAGAGGAGGGCTGGGGAGGCCTGAGATGCGCTGCAGGGCCGTGCTCCCGGCTGCTGCTCCAGGGGCCACTCTCCCAAGACAGTCTCCTTTGTAACAACCTTCCAGTGTGACCGTATCACCCCCATTTTTCCAATGACAAGCTGATTGCCCACGACCCCTCAGTTACTAAACATTGGAGCTGGGGTATGATGACCCCTCCTGCCCTTTTCCAGATCAGATCTATTCCACAGATCCTAACAGTCAGGGCAGCCTGGGTGGCCAGAGGGCAGGAGCATCAGGAAGACCGTGCCGTAAGAGCACTTCAGGCTCAGGGTGGGCTGCGGAGTCCCTTGGGGAGGACGCTTTCCTGTTTGGTGCCTCTGGGGAGCGAGGCCAGCTCTCAGGGCCCCTCAGGGTGAGTCAGGGGTTTGGAGAGCCCGGCTCTGCGTGCCGGTCGGCTCTGCCTTGGCATAGGCCCCGCTTCAGGCCCCTTTGGTGCAGTAGCAGAGTCCTCTCCAGCCTCCTGTCCCTGTGGCCTGTGCGTCCAGCTGACCCCAGAGCCACCTCCAAGTTTCTCCCTGTCTCCGCAGATGAAGAAGCGGGACCTGGAGCCCTCAGACGCCACCTACACAGCCCTGTTCAACGTGTGCGCCGAGTCCCCCTGGAAGGACTCGGCACTGCAGAGCGCCCTGAAGCTACGGCAGCAGCTTCGGGCCAGAAACTTCCAGCTCAACTTGAAAACGTACCACGCACTGCTGAAGATGGCCGCCCTGTGCTCGGACCTCAGGATGTGCCTGGATGTGTTTAAGGTGGGGCTGTCCCTTCCTTCCTGCTCCCCACTCAGAGTGAGTTCTGCGAGGCCAGACTGAGGCTGTGCCCTCTGTATTCGTCTCATAGGAAGGTTCAGGCGCCAATGAGACAGGCGCCCTGTCGGCCTCTGGGGCTCACTGAGGCGTCCCTGCAGTCAGAGCCCTGGGTGGGACAGGGAGGCCCCCGCACCGTGAGGTCAGGGTGTTGTGTGTGCTGTGGTGTGCTATGTCCCGCTGAGGGCCCTCGCTGGTGAGATGCATAGCACTGAAGAGGAATTGGCGCTCTCTGGGGCATCGTTCCAAAGATCTTACAAAGCAAGTCCTGTGGCTTCTGCTTCACTGATGAGGAAACCGAGATGAGCACCTAATGCTTCTCAGACTCCTAGAGCAGGCCAGCGGCGAAGCTGGGACGTGAAGCCTACTCTGGGCAGGTCCAAAGCCTTGTGTGCAAGAGTGGCTCCTGGGTGGATCTTCGTGGAGGGGCTGCACAGAAGTGATAGGAGTAGAGCCAGGAAGAGAGGCCTGGGAAAGAGGGGAGGAGGGAGCGCAGGCCGTGGGGAGCTCTGCTGCGGCTGGTACTGAGCTGGCCCAGGCCGGATTCGGGCCCCACTGCTCAGGATATGCAGCCCTGGGTCTGCCGTGGGGTGTCTGTCGGTCCTGAGCCAGACCCAGTGGGCCTGAGTCTGGGCCTCAGCTCTCCTGCAGAGTCCCAGCAGGCCTTCTTCGTTCCTTCCCCTAGGAAATCATCCAGAAAGGGCACGCGGTCACAGAGGAGACCTTCAGTTACCTGCTCATGGGCTGCATCCAGGACAAGAAGACCGGCTTCCGGTACGCCCTGCAGGTCTGTCCCGCCTGGCTGTTCTTCCTGTCTCTTGCTGCCCCGCTTGCTCCCCCTCCACGTACCTGTGCTGGGGGCAAATGATGATTCTGGGTGCATTTCTTGAGCACTTGCTCCTGCCCCGTGCTGGGTGCTTTTATATTTGTGATCTTTTGGCCTCCTGGAGCACACTGTTCCCTGAGTTTTACAGATGGGTGCACACCAGGCACTCGGAAAGTGCAGCTGAATCCAACCCTTAAGTCTGCCTATACTCTTCCAGAACCTGGCCTCTCTGGCCGTTCCTCCGCCGGGAGTAGGGAGAAGGGCTGGGAGAAGCAGAGGGGTGGAAGTGCGACACAATTTGGGATGAGCCAGGAGGGGAGGTGGCGCTAGTGGTGAAGAATCTGCCTGCCAGCGCAGGAAACCCAAGAGACACGGGTTTGATCCCTGGGTTGGGAAGATCCCCTGGAGGAGGGAATGACTACTCACTCCAGTATTGTTGCCTGGAGAATCCCATGGACAGAGGAGCCTGGTGGGCTACAGTCCCTGGGGTTGCAAAGAGTTGGATACGACTGCGCAGCTAACACATACGTAGGAGGGGAGGAGGGTGCCTGTGTGGGCTCCCAGGGTTTAGGGACCAGGTTCCTGGGTCCTCAGTTGCCCAGAGCCTGGAGTCTTTCACATGCCCCGTTTGCCCACTGATGCCTGCTCTGCTGAAGGCTCGTTGGAGAGGGGGCTGGGGGCTGAGGTCTGCCTCTCCTCCGCAGGTGTGGAGGCAGATGCTGAGTCTGGGGCTCCAGCCAAGCCAGCATGGCTACAACCTGCTGTTGGGGGCAGCTCGGGACTGTGGGCTGGGGGACCCGGCGGTGGCCTCGGCGGTGCTTCTGAGGCCCAGGGAGGAGATGGCTTTGTTCCAGCCCCCGGCCGGGGAGCGGAAGACCAGGAGGAGAGCCCAGGTCAGGCCAGACTGCAGCCTATTGGCCAAGCTGCACGTGGAGGCCCTAGAGAGGCAGCTGTTTCTGGAACCTTCTCAGGCACTTGAGGGGCCTCCGGAGCCTCAGGAGGCCAGAGTCCCCGGCCAGGCCCAGTCTGGGATGGAGACCAAAGCAGAGCCCGACCACACGGTGGCTCTCAGCTCTGTGGCCCCGAAGCCCCCTCCCTGGGGGCTGGAGGCCAACCTCCTGACCCCGGGGGCGGCCCCCTTGGCTGTGGTCTCCTTTGGGACCGTGAGCACCCCCGCCGACAGACTGGCCTTGATGGGCGGCCTGGAGGGCTTCCTCGGCAAGATGGCAGAGCACGGGCTCCGCCCCGACATCAAGACCCTCACGCTGCTGGCGGAGGTGGTGGAGCCCGGGAGCCCCGCGGAGTCCTCCCTGCTGGGCCTGCTGGACACGCACGGGGTGGAGGCCGACCTGCACTTCCTCAACACGCTGGTGAGGAAGAGGAGCAAGCGGGGCGACCTGGAGGGGGCAAAGGTGAGGGGCTCGGGGGAGGAGGCACAGGCTCCCCCCTCTCCTTCCTCCCTGCACTCTCTCCTGCAGGCGTGTCAGTCATTCCTGCCAGAGGCGGGCAGACTGCCCCGAGCCCCCGTTTAGGCCTGGGCTTGGGTGACAACTGGGAATCGAGTGGCGGACCAGCCATACCCCCCGCCCCCCCGGGGGGCTCCCAGTGCTGGGGCAGACTGCAAACAAGTGCTTGCACCGATGCAGCATACGGGGACACATGGCCTGAGAGGCTGGGGGTTCCTGAGTGTGCCCACCCCCACCAGCCTCCGTGACATCGTCCATTGTCACACTCACTTTGCTTGATGCTGTCCTGAGAGTTTGGCGTCATCTGTGTCTTTACTGACCACACCAGGAAGCTCTGCCGCCCATGGCTTTACCCATTTCACACACGGGGACACCAGGGCCCTCACGGGATTTCATCCATTCATACATGTTTCTGTGCGCTTCCCTTTTTGCCAGAAGCTCTGACCTGGGCTCTCATGAGCATCACAGGTGAGAGAGCAGCCTCTGCCGTCAGGCCCTCTGTGTCCAGCACAGCTTTCTCTCGAGCCCCTCCCCGGACCCGCCCTGACCCGGCCTGAGCAGGCATCCTCTTCCTCTCCTCCCGCCCGGGACTCCCTCAGCCTGCACTGCACACGCTGTTGTTGGCTTTGTCTCCAGCCCTGGACCGCAGGACCACCATGCCCTGAGGCCCCTGGTGCTCGATCCACGTCCAAGTCCTGAGCACAGAGTGGATGGTGGCTGGTCGAGGAGCAGGAGGGGCAGGAACACGGAGTATCCGGAGGAGAGATGGCCTGTTGGGGACCAGCAGGCTGGAAGGCAGGGTGTCCTCGCAGAGCTGCTGAATCCAGGGAGCTGGGCAGTAAGGTGCTGGGCCAGACCCCAGCCTCGAGTGCTGGGCTGAGGCCGGTGCCCAGGGTGGTCAGCAGGGGGAGCCGCGAGGCTTCGGAGAAGAACCGTGCCCCGGTGTCTCCAGCATCTAGCCGCAGGCTTCACCAGAGAAGGCTTTCACTGGGCTGGTGGGTTACAGCTCACGGTGATGCCGCCTCTGTCTCCACAGGCCCTGCTGCCTGTCCTGGCAAAGAGGGGCATCGTCCCCAACCTGCAGACGTTCTGCAGCCTGGCCATCGGGTGTCGCAGGCCAGAGGACGGCCTGCAGCTGCTCTCGGACATGAGGGTAAGTGGGGCCTGCCCAGGCAGGTGAGGGTGGGGGTGTGGGGGCCTCCCGAACCCCCCCCAGGCCTCTGTACTCAAGGTAAGCTGTGGGGAGCAGGGTAGGGAGAGTGGGGTCTTGAGCTTCAAGTGAGAAGGGTCATTGTCCAGTTTGGGAGAAAGGAGACCGTGGTGAGGGGCCGCACGGGCGCTGAGAGCCAGGGCTGTTATCACTGAGGTGTGGCCGTGGGGTGAGGTTGAGGGGAGGGGATGACTCTTGGCCCCAACCCTCTAGGGGCATGGAGGCCGTGATGGGAACAGGGAGGGCCAGAATTCTTGGGGGACAGGTGTGCAGTGAACCCCCAGGAGGCATCTCCTGCCCATGGTTTACTGCCTGAATTCGTTGATCTCTGAGAACAACCCTCTGTTTTCTCTCCAAGTTCTTCAGGGCTGAGAGGGCAGGGCCTTCAGCTGCCGGGGATGGACCCACGCAGGTTGTGTGGAGTAGGGAGTACAGCCTGTTGTTGCTTTGAGGTCCTGCCCTTCTCACCCCTGGGGGCTGGTCTGCAGAGCAGGCCCAGGCAGCAGGGTGGCTCCCCAAGTCTGACGTGCCCCATAGCGCCACGCTCTCCCAACCACCGCCATCCTCTCGCTGAATGTTCCAGGAATCCCAGATGACCCCCAACACCCACATCTACAGCACCCTCATCAACGCGGCCATCAAGAAGCTGGACTACGCCTATCTCATCGACATCCTGAAGGACATGAGGCAGAACAGAGTCCCCGTGAACGAAGTGGTCATCCGCCAGCTGGAGTTCGCGGCCCAGTACCCACCCAGCTTTGACCGGGTCAGTGCACCCGGCTCTGACGTGCCCATCGTCTCCCTGGCCAGCGTCACCCTCACGCCCTCCCCACCCCACCCCACCCGACCCCTGTGCTGACCTCCTGGGATTGGCATCCTCTCGCTTTAAACTGTGGCCCCCTTGGGGAGGACCCACACTCCTCAGACCACAGCTGGCCGGTCCCTGTCCACGTGACTCATCTCTGTCAGGTCGCTCTTCCCTTGGTGCCGTCGCTTCTAGACGACGCCGACCTGTCCCGTGCCTCAGGGTTCTCGTCTTCCCAGCAGGTCCCCTGCTTTTCACCTTCCTGCTCCTGTCTCATCCCGTTGGTCCCAGCTCGGGCTTCCTCAGCGGGGCCCCGCTGGCCGCCTCCTTACAGCATGGCTCCTCTTCATCCTGTTTCACGGCCTGTGCTCACACATACTCGTGTGTGACCCTCACTGTAAGGAGAGTGAACGCCGCTGGAGGTGGGGACTGTCTGTCTTGCTCACCGGGTCCCGGGTCCCTGCCCGTCGTCAGGCGCCCAGCACACACTGTTGTTCGCTGAGTGAATGGGGATGGCAGGAGGGTGGTGACAGGATGTTCTGTAACGGCCACTTCTCTCCTTGCTGTTCCGTAGGTGTCAGGCTCTCCGGTTCTGGTTTTGAGGTCTAATGCGTCAGGCTCTGTGGCCTGATGGGTAGGGAGCAAGTCAGCCAGGACACACCAAGCCATGGGGCTGGGGTCAGGGACGGCTGTGCAGGGAGGATGCCGAGTGCCATTAAAGAAGGCTTAGTAATTAGTGCAACAGCCGTGGAGAGTGTAGAGGGCAGAGGGCGGGGCTGGGCACTTTGACCGGCTGATTGTCTTACTGATTCCTCAGTTCTTTGCATACTCCATAGACTAGGCTTTTGTTGGTTCCATATTGCAAGTGTCTTATAGTCCTTCCATATTGCAAAGTTCTCCATGGAGGACCCACTGAGGGTCTTCTCAGTTTCAGCCAAGAGTCAGCAAATACGACAAGCCTAAACCTTATTGTATTCACTCATACATTCACACTCACTCACGATGGGGAGCTTGTGTCTGTTGTCAAATTTTTGCTGCACGAACTTTCAGGCTCTATCAGGTACGCGTTCAGAATTGCTAAACCTTTTGAATCAACCCGTTTATCATCACGTGGTAGCAGTGTTTAGATCACGCATCTTTGTCTTTTAATCTAGGCACTCTGTCAGCTTTCTCTTGCTACCTACCCGGCGCGTCGTCTCCTTTCCTTTGTCCCACCTCTCCCGAGACCCGAGACCCCTGCGGCAGTCTCTGTGCCAAGCAGGAGGTGCTCAGCAGCGCGGGCAGAGCGGCGGCCCCCGGCGAGTCTAGCTTTGGGGGGCTGGGTGCCATCCCTGGCTAGAGGGGCTCAGCAGTACTCTCTGTTGAGCAGCTTCTCTGCCCTTTTCCTTTTGACCAACTGCAAGCAAGAACAGCTTCCGAGGCCTGAGCCAGCTGCCACGGTTTGGGGTCCGCTGTAAGTAGCAGCCGGTGTCTCCTTGTGGCCCCTCTGAATCCCATGCTTTTCCAATTACAGTACAAAGGGAAAAACACCTACTTGGAGAAGATTGATGGCTTCCGGGCTTATTATAAGCAGTGGCTGAAAGGGATGCCAGCGGAGGAAACCCCCCACCCGTGGCAGAAATTCCAGACGAAACCAAAAGGAGACCAGGATACCATCACCGAGGCTGATATGGACAAAGGCCCTGGGGGCAGGTGATGAAGAGGTCCTAGGGGACCCCAGCAGAGCTGGAACAAAGTGGGCAGCCTTCACGTGGCTCTGTGGGAACCCCGAGAGTCCCCTTCACATGAAAGACTGAACTTGCCGGGGCAGCTGCAAGCATGAGACAAAGTCCAGGGTCAGAGCTCCAGCTTAGGTGTTGGTCTGAGGACGAATGCTGGCCCAGGTGCCCAACAAGTTCATGGCAAGTGCCAGAGCAGCGTGGCCACCTTAGTCCGTCATCTCAGGCCCTCCCCGTCTGAGGGTGACGACGAGGAGGGTGAGTTCGCTCCAGGTCAAAAGGCACCGATGAGGTGGAGTCGGGATTGAGTCCTAAGGGCGACTAGTCTCTGGGGCCTGGTGCCGTCCTCCTGGGTGCCAGACCGCTGGCTCTGAGAAAGAAGGGACGTGAAGCCCAAAAGGTTTAGAAGTTTTTTTTATTTCTACAAATCATAGCTGATGAACACCAAAGCCTTCCCACAGGAGACCATGCTCCTAGTTGGGCCTGGGGACCGCTCTGAGGAAAAGCTGCTCCCAGCAAAGGGTGGCATGACGGGCGGAGTCCTGCGCAGCCCGGAGTCCAGGGTGGATGGAGGTCTGGGCCCGATGCTCAGCCAGAGCAGCCCCGGCAGCCGCAGTGCGTGCACTCGATGATCCGGCCCTGCGGACAGAGGACCCCTGAGACCCTGCGCCCACACGCGGGAAGCCCCCCACGCCCTCCGAGGGAAGCAAGGCCATGGGATATCCATTCCCCATGGACCCTCCTCAGAAACCCTCTGTGATGGTGCGGGATGGGGAAAATTCATTTCCCTCATGAAAATGGGAACGGCTGCTGTTGACAGTTACATCTCTGTCTGGATTTAATTCATACAAATTCAATGTACATACTTGGTCCCAAAAAGAAAGAAAAAAAAAATCTGAGTGATTGCTCTTATTCTGTGAAGCAAGCATGACACACCCTTCAGCGAGCTGGAGGCAACTGTGCTCTGCGCTCGGGGCTCAGTGCCAGGGCCTCACGGTGTCCTCTGGGCTGAGGAGCTTTCTAGCAGGGTGTGGGGAGAACGGGGTGTCCTTGAACCTGTATGGCGGCAGGACAGTTGTACCCCGGGCCAGGTGTGTGGTCTAGTGTCCGGCCAGGGGCCTGCCCAGTTCAGAAAAGGGGTTTATTCTCTTTTTCCCTCTTTTTTGGAGAAGCAAGACTGGTCTAAGGAAACAAGATCCAGTGGTGTAACTAAATCTGTTCTGGACACCGCACCGTGGGGCTCCTGCTGCTCTGCCCGCCCGCCCGCCCCCCCAGACCTACACAGAGCCTCCCTTGGAAGGCAGCCTATGCCCCGCCCTCCACTACTCCGCACACCCATCCTGAGCTTCCAGAGGACTAGGGGGAACAGACCTGCCTGCTGAGCTGAAGCCCATGGGCCAGAGCCAAGGCTCTGCACACAAGCTAGCCAGTGCTACAGCCTGAAGGGACCATGAGCAGGAGGGCATCTGGCCTGGCCTTGCTCACGGGCAGCCGAGGGGCTGTGCTCACAGGCCGCTGACGGCCCAGTAACCCTCCTCGGCACCTGCTGCCGCTCCCCTTCAGGGGAGCCTGCACACAGAGCTCACCACTGCACGCCCAGCACCGTTCCCTCGCCACCCGAGAGTTCTGGCACAAAATGCAGTGAGGCTCAAGCTGAAGTGTCACTGGGAGCAACAGGAGGCCGGGAGAAAAGGGGGACGAACCCCTGCAGCCTGGCCCACCCTCCCCTGGGTTAGCCCTCTCAGCCACGCTGGGGCGGGGGTCGTCATCCGCATTTCCTATGTGAGGATAGGAACCAGTAACTTTCCTGGCACGGATCCCTGACCAGAGGGGCTCCCTCCCAGGGGGAGGGCCAGCAGAATACCCAGCCACAGAACAGAACATAAAACCCATTGTGGTCAGCTAAACTGCTCATGCTGGCATCACACTCAATTGTCAGGCGGGGGGTGGGGGGTGTGGCATTACCACTTCCAGCTTGCTTTTGGGGACCCGGCAGATGCAGTTTGTCCCAAAATTGGTGTCCCGTGTCTGGATGCACCGCAGGCAGCACAGGTTCTCATACCCTTGCTTTTTCCATTTTGCAATCAGGTTTTTATCTGCATAGCCTTCTTTAATACAGTACTCATACAGTTCTGCAAAAAGACAGGGAAGGGCCATCAGACTACAGTTTAACAAAGCTCTCCAGCCCACTGCCCATCACTGCCCACCCTGAGAAACAGTGTTTAGTCAACACTGGCCCCCTTTCGTTTTTTGGAAACAGGAAGCATCATGATGCTTGCTGAAGTTTCAAGAATTACTTAAATCGGACAGCCACTCAAGCTGGAAAGGCCAAGAGAACATGTAGCCAGTCACCTCTGCTTATGGCTTTCCGCTTGTAGAAGAGGTCAAAGATGTAGCGGGTCTTCTGGTGATGGATCCTGAAGATGGGCCACAGAGATTCCACTTTCCTCTTTCCCTCGTGAGGTTCTGTCTCAGCTGCAGAGAAAACACGGTGTTTGCTTTGTTGTGGAGAGTAGGTTAGTCTGCACAGAATACAGTATTGTTCTATCACTTGGGATTTGTAATTCAGCTCAATAAACAGGGTTCTGCGATCTAAGCCAAAGGCAGGGATGAGGATTTGGCGACACCGCGTGTCTGCTGAGGGTGAGAGCATGCTGAGTACCCAGTGTACAGCAGTGAACAAGACAGACCACAGCCACAACCTGGGGAGGAGGAGGCAGACCAGCCCCTGGTGCTAAGGGGAAACGGCCACAGAGGAGAAGGTAACACGGAAGGGATGGCGAACCTAGTGTGGAAAGCCACGTGGCCGCATGGGGTGACTGAGGGAGGTGGTGGTGGGGACCACGGAGCGCCTCAGGCCTGGCTGTCCTAGAAGTGGAAACTTCCCACGCTTTGGTGGTGGTGTTTAGTTGCTCAGTCACGTCACACTCTGCGACCCCATGGACTGTAGCCCACCAAGCTCCTCTGTCCGTGGGATTCTCCAGTCAAGAATACTGGAGTGGGTTGCCATGGCCTCCTCCAAGGGGATCTTCCTGACCCAGGAGTGGAACCCACATCTCCTGCATTGCAGGCAGATTCTTTACCACTGAGCCACCAGAGAAGCTCCTGTGCTTGGAGTCATCTCTGAAGGTTTTAATCACAGCATTTCTCTTTGGACCTGTTTTCACAAGGTCATGTGAACATTCGTAGATATCATTTTGGACAGGTCCACACACACAGTGAAAGGCAGCCTGCAGTGGGCAATGTGGAGTCCTGCCCCTGGGAGGGTATGAAAAGAGGCCAGGGGTAGGGACCTCGTGGCTCAGGGCAGACTCAGGTTTCTGCCTCTTAGTTAATGCCCCAAATGGCCTATTAACTCCAGAACCTGAGCAACAATTCTTTTAAAGTGCCACTCTTAAAAGTCTAAACACATGTTCATTATTCAAGTACTGATTATGCTTGACTTTCAACTAGTTTAAAGTACTTGTAAAAGCAAAGTTATTTACAAGTCCTAGTTACAGTCCACAGAGATAGTGCCTACACTTCTCAGTCACCCATAAAACCCCCACCACACCCTTCTCTGTTCCTCAGTCCCTATAATAAGGCTTTTTGTTGTTTGGGGACTTCTCGGGTAATAGTGGCTATACAAAAACCTGAGTAGTAAACTAGGAGATATACAAAGAGCTGGGCAGTTGTGCTGAGCTAGGAAATACCAGGGACAAACTAAAAGAGAAAACAGCAACTTTCCTTTCTAAGGTAATAGTGCCAACTGCTTCAACAAGTGTGAACAACTCACATCAGAAGGACAGGCCAGTAGTGCCACTGGCTTTGGTCCTCTGTGGCCTCAGAGCGTGGCTGCAAATCCCAAAGGCAAAACTTGAGTTTTGCAACAAACTGGAGGCTGGCAGCCCCTGCCAGCCTGGAGGTAGGCTTTGGTTCCCCCATAGACGCTTTTTTTTAGGTTTGAATGTTAAATTGGAAGAGTTCACATAGAAAAGCTGGATTTCTGGCTCATCTTGGGGAGGGGAAAAAAACAGCAAAGCTGGAAAAGCTGAGGCTGCATCTGACATGGCAGAAAGGGCCCTGGGTGGGGAGCAGATTCTGCCCACCCCAGAGCTCGCTGCTGTCCCCAATACTGAATCAGCTCTGCCACCACCTGCCATCCAATCATTTTCTTTTTAGTGGAAGTGAAAGCAACAGGAAACTGGGGCTTAAAACCTGCGTATCAAAAATGGGAAAGCCGAGAAGAACTAGATGGTTAAAGAAAAAGAACACTTTTGACGGTAAAGAACATCTTATCCACCTAAATGCTCTCCCTTCAAGAAGTCACCTCTTAAAAAGAGGTTTATTTCCAAGGACTCACAAATTATCTTTTCTATTACAGCAATCTCTTTAAATTCCTTTATGTTGAATAAAGATCTGTTAGGAGAAAAAAATCAGCCCCAAAGACCTTGATTATTGCAAATTCTGGGTATTTAGTAGAAGTTACCTGATATACTCAGCTTCAAAAAAAGGAAGCAAAGTTAACACCCACTTACTACTACTGCTGAAGGGATGACTTCAGAATAACAAAGGTTAATTACCAAAAACCTTTAAGAAAAAAAGACTGCTTTAAAAAGCAATTCAGTAAGTAGTTAATACTGTAATACGGCCAACAGGAGAAGAGGATGGTGGAGGACGAGACGGTTGGATGGCATCACCGACTCAACGGACATGAATTTGAGCAAACTCCGGGAGATGGTGAAGCCCAGTGTGCTGCAGTCCATGGGGTCACAAACAGTAGGACATGACTTAGGAACTGAACAACAACAGGGCCAACAATGCTTGTGGCTTCAGGTTAAATTTCCCAAAACTGCACACTGTACTGATTCACAAACTGCAGGACCACATAACACTTAGGGGGAAGTGAAGATTGTGCATTCTGGACAACTGGTAGATGATGCAAAAACAAAGCGATGATGAAAACAAACCCACAAGAAAAATCCAAATACAAACATTTCAGAAAATTTGGAGTGAAAAAGAACAGGATTTTCCAAGTAAATGTATTTTGTGTGATTTTAAATATACTTCTACCAGTAAATAATTCTAAGTAGACTATTTGATGTATACTCCCTAAAGGTCTTATATACTCAAAAGCACTTTTTTCCCCAAAAAACACTTTTGAGGACCTTCTCATTTGTATTATCTTACTTTCTGGGCATTTATAGTATCCCTATCAGTTAAAAAGCAAACAAAACATGTCAGTGTCAGGTGGCCTCGGTGGTGCAGCCTGTCTCTTCCCATTTATCCTTGGGACACAGCCCATCCAGGCAAGAACTCCACAACTCACCTTCTCTCATTTTTTGATCTAATTCATCCAGTGTTGGCTCAATCAACTCCCACCCATCTGGGGGAGCTTTCCGGCTTCTTTTGACTTTAGGCATTTTTTCCCCAGAAGATAGTCTGCAAAAATCTGTGGGGAAAAAAAAAATTAAATGAATTGGTTTCTGAGCCTCAGGATCCCTGAGGACTTCACAAGCCACAACTCTGGTGCACATTCATATCCGTAAATCTGTCTCCTCATCGGTGTAATGGGGAGAATCTACTTATGGGGCCATGTGAGGACTTGATTATATGTAACGTGCATGGTATTTAATGTGTGCTTAGTAGAGTTTTGCTATTATCATACAGAGAATAAGACACACACTGTCCCTGAGAAGGTGATATTCTAGCAAGGAAATGCAAAGTGGAAAGGGAATTACAACACAGTGTAAGGGAGACTGATTGGGAGAGCAAAGATGAGTGTTTAAAAAGGAAGAAGAGTGAAACCAAAGTACCTTAGGGTCTGTTTCCCAAGAGTATAATAGAAAGATCTCAGGTGTCTTCAGTTACAGGCTCGGATTCTTGTCCAGCTACGACTTTGGAGAGGTCACATTCCCTTTCTGGTCCTCAATCTTGTCTATAAGGTGAGGACAGTGTATTAACTGGATTGCCAAGGTCTCTTTTAAACCCAACAGACATACTATATAAAGGAAGTCATGTAAAGCCCAAAGAACAGACCAGCCCAGATCTACACAGCAAGTCATTTTTCAAACCCCAAGGCATTTCACAGCTAACAGAGAACTCAGGGTGGGACTTCCTGGTGGTCCAGTTGCTAAGACTCTGAGCTCCCAATGCAGGGGGCCTGGGTTCCATCCCTGGTCAGGGAACTAGTTCCCACATGCCGCAATTAAGAGTTTGGATGCCTCAAGGAAGACCCGGTGCAGTCAAATAAATATTTTCAAAATATTTTAAAAAATACACTAAAAGAGAACTCATGTTAATTATCTTTAAGCAGAGCAGACTCCTCCTTTCCCACGCTCATTCAGTTCCTCCCTCCTGATGTTTACGAAACCCCGCCCTCTTCGCCCCACTACGTGAATTCTCAGTAACCACCTTACAGAAGATCAAACTCAGGGTCGCACAGAGCTGGGAACCGGCAGAGTCTGACTCATCGGGGGCTCCTGACTCCCAAATCTGAGGTCTTTACACTTGTCTCCCCTGCTCAAAAGCTAGAGACGAATGGAATCTGGTCCCTGTCCCAAGGAGCACGGGCTGGGAGGACAAAGACAAGGGAATCACCACTATGCTAACTAAGACCCACGGAGAGTCTAGGGCCTGGCCCAGCTTGGGAGTCAGTGGAGGCTTCCCATGGGAGGTAACAGCTAAGAAGCAACCTGGTCAGGAAGAAAGAGATGTGGCACGGTGTTAGGGTGGGGGTAGCGCGCGGGAGGGGCGGAGAGCCCAAAGGCGTTCGGAAAAAGCGAGTGAAGACGCTACAACCCGGGTTGTAAAAAGGCTCAGGAAGACTATGGCATCTGAACCGGGATTACAAGGAAAAGCAATATTTAGACAACAAACGTTCTAGGCGGGGGGGGGGGGGGGGGCGCGGAGCGGGAAAAATAAGGGCGGGGAAACCTAGAAGCCAGGGAACCCCCACATTTCCCATCCCCTCCGCGGAACCAGCAAGACGCCGCCTAGTCTCGGGAACTCACTTCGACCTTCGGGTCCAGAGGCCCGAACCGGTCCCAGTTCGGCTGTTCAGATCGCCCTCTGGGCCAACGCAGACGTCCGATCCCTGGCCCCCAGCCGTCACCAAGATCCTAGAGAAGAGAAGGGAAACACTCACTACGACCTCCGCCGCGACGCAACGTCCCTTCTGTATCCACCGCCTCAGCTCCCCCGAGTATCTCTTCACGATGAGGTCCTCGCGGAGCCCCGCCCCGCAAGGAGCGCGGCGATTGCGTTGCCTTAGGTGTCCGCAGCCCTGCCTGTGTAGAATTCCAGCGCCGCTGTCTCCTTTCGTCCGCACTTCCCAGCGGGGTGGGCTAGCAGGCTCACGCGCCTCCCACGGCGAGGGTTGGGAGAGCCTCTGTTGCCCAGCAGCGCGCGGGCGAGCCTGGGCTCAGGCGGCGCGTGGGACAGCCCGGCCTCCCTGAGGGCCGCGGTTCTCGCGGCGGCGGCGGCGCGCTGAGAGGGGGCCGGGTTGGGGGCGGGGGGGGTGGGGGGAAACTGGCTGGGCGGAAGAAGTCGAGCCCGAGAAATTTCCGGTTCCGGTGTCAGCTCGAGGCGCCGCCGCCGCAGCCGCCGGAGCCGCGATGCCTAAAGGAGGTGAGGGGCGGGCGCGTGTCACCCGCGGGCCTCGAGGAGCGGCCTGAGTCCGGCTCCCGCCGTCCAGTCAGCCCGCGGGCGCCTCAGAGAGCGACTCGGAGGGAGAACGTCCGCTCCGGCTAAGGGCCAGGCCTGGGCCTCGACGCCCAATTGTCCCGCTGGAGAAGCTTAGGACCGTAGTAGTGGCCTCGAGCCACTCCCTCGGGAGTCTGAGGAGATTTGGAGGCTCTGGGTCCTCGCCCACCCGGATGGCCTGTCTAGGGCGCGCTTCTCTCGGCCTGGGGGCGTCTGGAGTTTCCTACCCATTTCAGGCTCGCCGGGGACTGAGTCACCGCGTCCCGCGCCAGAGCCGGGCCCGCCTGCTTTGCGCGTAAAACGTGGGCCTTTTCGGGCTCTGGGCGAGCTAGGCTTGTCTGTTGCGACCTAGCTGGATGTTCTTGAGCCTGGCCGACCTAGCTTTGACTGCCCTTTTCGAGCGGCTCGACGTGGGTCTTTGAGCCTGCCACATAACCTTCCTGTGTTTTTGCAAGTATAGGGATATGATTGTATCTACCTCATAATACTGATGCGAGTCTTGAAGTAGGTAATCCACGTGGAGGGCGCTGTATGGTGGTGATAGTCGCTAAGTGTCCAGTAAGCATTAGCTGTTGTCACTCCTAAGACTTTGCCAGTTCCTTGGCCAAGAGCGTAAAGAATCCATGGCTTCCCCGGTTCGGTTGTACACTGTCCTTCATCCTCTTCCCCTTGAGAGTCAAGAGTGCTCGACTCGAAGCCCAGCTGTGTCACTGTCTAGCCTTATGGCCTGAACAAGTTGTTCCCCATCTGAAACACCTAACTAATAACTCTTAGCCTGGAGAGTTGGGATTAGGGTCTTAAATACATAGAGCCCTCGTTGTGCCTGGCGGCTACTGGCGCAGAAGAGGTGTTCAGTTAATACTGGTGTCTCCTGTGACATCTTTGTTAAGATGTCTCAGCCCACAGGAACATCTGCTTGGAGCTTTTTCAAACCTAAATGACTTCCTGACTCTGCTCCCACAGATGCTGGGGTTTTCAGAGCTGAATCTCTTTAAACCTAGTTTTCTAGTGGTTTATTCTGTGGTAGGAAGAGCTTTGTTTCCTCTGTGTCTCTCAGTCTTCTGTTCTGCAAAAGGAGGGGTATTAGGGGTACCGACCTGGGTTCGATCCCTGGGTTGGGAAGAGTCCTTGGAGAAGGGAAAAGCTACCCACTCCAGTGTTCTGGCCTGGAGAATTCCATGACCTGTGTAGTACATTGGGTCGCAAAGAGTCAGACACGACTGAGCGACTTTTACTTCTGGTGCCAGAATTCTGAGAGTCCTACTTAATAGGTGCTTTGAGCCAAGGTTGGCGGTTACAATTAGAAAATCCTAAATAGGGATAATTGTTTCAATGACTTGGCCTTTTGGCTTGTGAAAGCTTTATGGGCAGATAATGTTTACATTTCTTGCTGGTGTTAATTTGCTTGAAAAGTAAGAATATGAAGATATAAAAGTGTAAAATTCTCCAAGAGCCCAGGACCAACTCTTGTTTCTGTCACAAAACCTGTGAAACATTTTCAAAGGCATGGAGAGCTTCTGATAAAAGTTACTGTAAACCAAGTTAAGATCAGTGTCCCATAGCCAGACATGCAGGATGAGAGCCTGTAGTAGTCAATTTTGAGCTGTTTCTATTCCTTAGAACATTAAGAGGGCAAGAAAAGATGTTGGGGTTTTGGATGGCTAACTTGATCTCTCATAATGGGACTTTGATGATCCTTGACTGAGACACCCCTGGGAATCCAGGTAGTCATTAAAAATGGGTGGTGTGGTCTGTAGCAGCCCAATTATGGCTCTGCAGCTGCTGTCTAGGAAATTAGAGGAGGCTAGTATCTCTGCTGCTGTCTCTGGAGTTCAGAGCAGCTCTGGCTGCCTCATCATAGATGCTCAGCTCTCAGTGACAGTCCTGAGAAGCCAGACGGGGTGCAGCTTCCAGGAGAGGCTAAGTGGATCCCAGCCACAGCCGCCAGCATCCTCCAGAACCAGCTGAGGAGCTGCTGCCCTGCTGTGAAACTGGCTGTTGGCTTTGTGTGTGTGTGCTCAGTTGAGTCCAGCTGTTTGCCACCCCATGGACTGCAGCCTGCCAGGCTCCTCTCCCCATGGAGTTTTCCAGGCAAGAATACTGGAGCAGGTTGTCATTTCCTCCTCCAGGGGATTTTCCTAATCCAGGGATCGAAGCTGTGTCTCCTGTGTTGGCAGGTGGATTCTTTACCACTGCGCCACCTGGGAAGCCTGTGGCAGGGGGCAGTCTAGTGTCTTGGTTCAGGAGAGTCAGGCTATAAAATTGACTGATTCTCTGTGATGAACTTTAATTGCTAGTCACATTTTTAACTCTTAGAAGGTAGTCAGTTTTATTTTCGATTTTACCTTTGTTTGGCAGTTGTTCTACTCTGAGCACAGAAAGTTTTCTCTGATAGGTTTTAAGTTTTCTCTTTCTACCATAAATACCACTTAAATGATCATGAAGTAGCTTATATTCCCTGCACCTGTAGTAAATTGTCATTGTGACCAGTAGCTTTGTTTTTTTCTTTTCCCCCCACACCAGGTATTACTGGGAGGTGGGTGGGGGTGGGTAGGTGTGTAACATCTTACCAAAAAACCTGATTGAACTTTTTGGTCAACCCAATATATGTATACGCTAGAAGAGTAACAATTATAGCAAACTTTTTTGGAGTGCTCGTCTAGTGCCGAGCACTGTTCAACATCTTCACATATGTTAACAAATCCATGTTCACAGCAATCCTACGTGGTAGGGAAACTGAGACTCAAAGATTAAGTACCTGCCCAGAGTCACAAAACCATTAAGTGGTAGAGCTGAGATTTGAACCCAGGGATTGGACCCCAACATTTGTGCTGTTCGCCACTCTGCTTTAGTCTCAAGTCTCCTTGTCTATAAAATGTGACCAGCCATGATGTGCACCTTAGGTTTAACCTGGGGTTCAAGTGAGCCCATGGCTGTGACGGAGCGTTTGCAAGTAAAGAGCACTGCAGTGACAGCAGGGGCGAGGGTGACCCCTTCTCGTGCCTGCATCTGAATCCACTGCATGTGGACAAAGGGACCAGGGGACTTAGCCGGTCACTCCCTGTGGTGCCCCCCAGGTCCTCCCCTCAGGCCTTGGTGGTGGGAGCCTGCATCCCGCACGCGGGTGGGTGCTGCCACATGCTGCCTCTTTTGTCCCTTTGAACAGGTGAGGGGGAAGGTACAGGTGGGTGGGTGGTCTTGGTGAGGGGCAAGGGAGGTCGGCAGCCTCTGCTGAGAGCACCTCAAGCAGGACCTAGTCTGAAGTTCAGGGCGATCAAGGGAGCTGCCATCCTGCTGCCTTCCTAAACTTCTGGTCCTCGTGCAGGGAGAAAGGGGGGCCACAAAGGCCGGGCCCGGCAGTACACGAGCCCGGAGGAGATCGACGCTCAGCTCCAGGCCGAAAAGCAGAAGGCCAGGGTGAGTATGCCACTCTGCGGGCCACTCCAGTGGCCCAGGGTGGCACCCAGAGAGGCCGGAGAAGGGCCACCCACCCTCTGGAAGAAGCCAGCACCTGGGGTGTGGTTGAAGAGGGCGGGCGGCCGACAGGAGGAGAGCGGGCCTTTGGTTGATCGCTTAGAACTTCGTTTCCTCAGCAGCCAGTGCTTGGGTGGGTCCTGTTCCTGTCTGTGGGGGCTCTCCGCACCCGCCTTGTGTGCGCCAGCCTCTGCCAGCCCCACTGGGGCTTGACACCCTGCCTTCCCACTCTCGCCGCTGACAAGAGTGCCATTCGTGCTTAGCACCCCCTCCTGCGTGCTCCCTCTCTGGTACTCCCCACCCTTCCCCCTCCAGTCTAAGCTTAGGAGCTCCTTCTGTTCCTCGGTGCTTTTTCCAGCCCACTGTCAGGAAACAAAGTATGTTTCCATCATTGGTGTCGGTGATCCTCTCACATCATTAGATGCTCACCTGGATGAGGGCCACAGGGAGCTGTCAGTGTGGACGACTGAGTGTGACGTGTGAGGGAGAAGGGAGAAGCTGTGGTCGGGGAGGGTCTGGCAGAGCAGCCTGCGCCTGAGCAGGACCTTGGAGAACGTGCGGGCAAGAGCTAAGGCGGGGGAAGTGCTTACGGTTTTGTAAGGGATGTTTCTAGTAGGAAGGCAAGAAGGGTGGAGGGAGGCGGCCCAGCAGGGCATCTATGTGGGCAGGTTGGAGTGTCTGACCCGCTGCTGACTGTGGGAGTGGAAAGTGGGGGAGGGAGGAGGCTTGCCCGGGAAAACGAGTACAGATTGGCAGCTGTGTGTGGCAGCAGGGAGAGTGGGAGGGAAACGGAGTGGGACTGTGGTTTCCAGCCCCACGGCCAAGTCCTGTGGGCTCTGGGGGACGAGCTGCGTACCAAGGCGGTCCCAGGCACCTGGGCTGATAAGAGGAGCAGGGCCTTGTATGGCTGTGTGAGAGGTGGGTTGGACTGGGAAAGGCTTGTAGGCTGTGGAGCCAAGTGAATAGGCTGCCTGTGACCCAGGTCCCCCATGGAGGCCAGCGTAGCAGAGTAGGACTCATATACTTGGTCCCAGCCTTCTGGGGGCTTAATTTCTCAAGGTTTACAGTCTGGGGCAGGAGGGATAGAAGGATCATGGCCTTGGGAGTTTGGTTTGCATCTTTTGATTCCTCAAATTGTCCATTTCTGAAACAGGAAGAAGAGGAACAAGGAGAAGAAGGTGGAGATGGGGCTGCAGGTGACCCGAAAAAAGAGAAGAAATCTCTAGATTCTGATGAGAGCGAGGATGAAGAAGATGATTACCAGGTACTGAGTCTGATGGGGGCCTGGGTTCTGGACTCATCCATTCAACAAATGTTCATCAGTTGTTTCCCAGCAGACAGAGTCCTTACACTTAAGGGTTTGCATTGTAATAAGGAGATACAGACAATAAGGAAGTCCATGAACAGTACGACTTCTGGTAGCCAGAAGTATCATGAATGAGATCACCCATGATTGAGGAGTGGTGTGTGGTGAGAAGGTGACTTTTAGACTGAGATCTGAAAAACAAAGTGGAGCCAGTCACGTGAAAATTGTTTTGCTGAGTAGTCGAGGCAGCCAGGTTAGCAAGTGCAGTCTGGGGGTCGGAACAACCTAGGCAGGTCCAGGGAACAGAGAGGCTAGTGGGGCTGTGACTTGGTGGGTAAGAAGTGGAGTAGGAATGGAGGAGGAGAGATTGGCAAGGCAGCGCCTGTGTGGTGGTTGCAGAGGTTTTGGTTTAATCGTAGTAGGTAGTGGGCAGCTGGTAAAATGGGATGTGGGCGAGAGAGAGGACCAGTATGTGCACGCTTAGTCACTTCAGTCATGTTTGCCCCTTCCGTGACCCTGTGGACTGCAGCCTGCCAGGCTCTTCAGTCCATGGGATTCTCCAGGCAAGAATACTGGGCAGATTTGCTTTTATCTGCACAGTGAGTTGTACAGTGTTGAGCATAGAAGCCAAGAGCTGGTAGCAGGTATCCAGACAAGAAATTGTGACTTCCCTGAAGGGGGTGGCATTAGCAGTGGAGAAAAGTGGGCAGATTCAAGCTGTGTTTTAGAGATGAACTCGTTGGGATTTGTCAAGGGTTGGGGTGGTGGGGCTAAGGGGAAAGAGAAACAAGACCTTGCTCGGGATCATGGGGAGGAACGGGCTGAGCCTGCAGTTCTGTTTTAGACGAGCTAAACTTTAGACGTCAGGTGTCTGGATGAGGTATATACACACCGGCTGGGTAGAGGTGCCTGGAGCTCTGTACAGTGCTCTGATGAACAGGCGTTTCGAAGCTCTCTCTCTGGTCTCTTAAAGAGAACAGCTGGGTTGACAGGGCTTGAAACTCTGCTCAAACCTGTTGCATCAAGCACTTGTGCTCTCATTTCTTTCTAAACTTGGCCTGGGCAGCTGGGAGGTGCAAGCTGCAGGTGCGCCTCCCCAAACCTATAGACGTTGAGCTTGTTCCCAGGCCCCACTTCCCTGCAAGCAACCTCTCCAGGGACCCAGCATGGCTAGCAGCCAGGCGTGAGGTTCCATGGAAACGGCTTTCAGAGGCTGAGCTCGAAGTGAAGGAGTACCTCTCTGTGCTGAGAGCTTGTGAATTGGGCTCATGTTCACATCTCCCATCTACTTCTGGGTTGATGTCAGGCATTTTATTGTGTCTCTGCTCTGTCGCCTGTGAAACTAGGGTGATGGTCCCTGGTGGCCTGGACACGGCACTGGCTGGACTCGGTCACCCACACTCCTGCTACATCTCCTGGGTTGGTGCAGACACGCCTGAGCGCTGTTCCCACCATGAGGCTGGGCCCAGCGTCACACAGCCTGGAGAGGAGCAGTTTGTTCTAGGCCAGGCAGACTCTGGAGATGGGGGTGGCCCTCGGGCACTGCAGGACCAAGCTTCTCCAGTGTCCGGCTTCTTGTCCTACCTTAGCAAAAGCGCAAAGGCGTGGAAGGGCTCATCGACATTGAGAACCCCAACCGGGTGGCACAGACAACCAAAAAGGTCACGCAGCTGGACCTGGATGGGCCCAAGGAGCTGTCCCGAAGAGAAAGGTAACTGCTGCTTCCGCGCTGTGTGGCTGAGGCCCCAGCTCCTCTGCCCTCACTTCTGGACCTTTAGGTCTCCAGTGGCCGGGTGGGGGCTCCAGTTACAGTGTTTATTTCTATGTGATCTCATTCCCCAAAGGCCCTTTAGAAGTTTCTCGATAAAGGAAAAAAAAAGGATTTTTTTCACCAGTGGAAACACAGGGAAAATAGAACAGCAGATTCAGATCTGAGCGTTGCACTTGAAGTAATCCCTGGGGATGCTTATGGTCATGCTGCAGCCCCTCCCTCAAGACGCTCTGCTCCAGGGCACCTCCCTTAACCAGCCTGATCGGACCCTCCTGACCCACATCCGTCCCTGACGTCGTGGCTGCGGGGTTGGGGGCCTGTGCTGATGGGCACCCACCAGCTGCCCAGTCCTCTCGCCTCAGGTGAAAATGAGGCTGCAGAGAGCTCCCTGTGGGCTGTGTGAGGCTTGGACCTGCGGGCTAAAGTGCCCTGCACACAGCTGGTTTCTGTTTTCATGCCTACCTGGTGACATCTAGGGCCTCACAGGAGGTTGCAGGCTGCTAAGAAAAGCCACCCTGATTTCTCTCCTGATTGCGCTGTTAGATTTAAATCCACCTTGCTGTGCTGACCCCATGAGAGCTGAAGGTGGTCTCTGTAAATAAACCCCACGGGGAAGGCCCACCAGCTTGGGGTGTGACTGAAGGCTGCTCAAGACCCTCCCCCTCCAACTGCCTTCTCACCACTGAGGACCCCCACCCTCCAAGGTAGCAGAGCGACAGGCGACCTGTGCTAGCTTGCTTGTGAGTGTCCATCAGGGAGGGGGCACTCGGACACAGCCCCTCCTCCACTTGGGCCCCAGGCCCGAGTGTTTGGCCTTGATTCTGGCTCCCACGTCCAGCTCAGCTGACAGTGGGGGGGAAGATGTCCCCTGTGACACCTCTTTACCCAAACAGAGAAGAAATCGAGAAGCAGAAAGCGAAAGAGCGTTACATGAAGATGCATTTAGCGGGGAAGACAGAGCAAGCCAAGGCCGACCTTGCCCGGCTGGCGATCATCCGAAAACAGCGGGAAGAGGCTGCCAGGAAGAAAGAAGAAGAGAGGAAAGGTAAGTCTTGAGCCACTGGTATGGCAGCCTGACCCTGGCTCTGGACGGAGCCAAGCCCTGTACTTCGATGTCTTGCTGTGAGGTGGGTTGGGCCAGATTGTCCGCGAGGCCCACTGTGTGTGTGTGTGTGTGCGCGCGCGTGTGTGTGCTCGGGAGGCGGTGTGTGTGTGTGTGCGTGCTCAGGAGGCGGGGTGTGTGTGCGTGTGCTCGGGAGGCGGTTGTGTGTGCGTGCTCGGGAGGCGGTGTGTGTGTGTGTGTGTGTGCGTGTGCTCGGGAGGCGGTTGTGTGTGCGTGCTCGGGAGGCGGGGTGTGTGTGTGTGTGCGCGTGCGCGTGTGTGCGTGTGCTCGGGAGGCGGTTGTGTGTGTGTGTGTGTGCGCGCGCGCGTGTGCTCGGGAGGTGGTTGTGTGTGCGTGCTCGGGAGGCGGGGTGTGTGTGTGTGCGCGCGCGCGCGCGCGTGTGTGCGTGTGCTCGGGAGGTGGTTGTGTGTGCGTGCTCGGGAGGCGGGGTGTGTGTGTGTGTGTGTGTGTGTGCTCGGGAGGTGGTTGTGTGTGCGTGTGTGTGTGTGCGCATGCGCTTGTGTGGGTGTGTGCGTGCTCGGGAGGCGGTGTGTGTGTGTCAGCTGGAGGTGGGCGTTCCTGCCTGCCACCTCCCAGAAGGCACCTACTTTCAAGGCTAGCAGGTTCCACTAAGTCTCTGGTGCCTTGTATAGCCAGGAGACCTGCTTGGCATCACTACTGTATGTCTGAGACGCTTGGGAGGGTGTGGTGGGCTGGGCTTCCCAGATGAAATCTGGCCCAGGTGTCCCTCTTCCCCATGCCTTCCAGTGGGGCCGAAGGTGGTAGGGTTCTTCCAGGCCAGGTTGGCTGTGAGGAATTGGTCTGATTTAAAGGAGTGTTTGTCTCAGGAATTTTTGGCCTCATGCAATCCTTCATCTGGCGGGGAGCCATGGGTATTGGGAATCTTGCTGTCCTGCATTCTAGAGGCCTAAAGACACCCCAGGGCATTATCACCACGTTGGAGATACCTGGTGATCTCAGCTGCCCACCAGTAGTTTGTTTCACAAACCCCAAGCAGGAAAGGACTGTGTGTGACTGCTTGCATGTTGCTGATTTCAGACTTCAGAAGCCACAGGGAGAGCTTGGAATTACAGACTTCTCCTGGGAGCGGGCTAAGAAGAGTTTCTATTTGCCCAGTAGATTGCGTGTTGGTGGGCCTTTGTGGTGGGGGGTAGCCACCCAAACTTAACAAGAATGTCTGGACACGTGGGTCCACTGGCTTCCATGGGAGGGTGTCAGGCCGGGCCCTTCTCCTTGGGTCTCTTCCTCATCTGCCAGCTGAGCCAGTTGCACAGATTGTTGTCTGAGGCCTTCTAGACCTACATTTTGCTGATTCCGGGGTGTGCAGGGCTGTGTGTATGGAGGGGTGGTTTCATCTTGTGACTCTCTCCTTTCCTGCTTCTCAGCAAAAGATGATGCGACCTTGTCAGGAAAACGAATGCAGTCGCTCTCCCTGAACAAGTAGCACGGCCTGTGGGAGGAGAGACCAGGGAACTGGGCTGTGCTGCCAGGACCTCCGCTGCGTCTCACCCGCCCTGTGCCCCGGTGCCGCTGCAGCAGTCCCTCGTGGCGAGGAGCCCCCCATGGCCTGGGACCTCCTCTTGATCTTGGCACGGAAATTGTTTGGGGGGATGGTGGGTGGGGGGCTGGGGGAGGGGCAGCTGCTATCTTTGAGGCAGAAAGATGCAGGACAGCATTTCATATGTAACCATTCAAATGTCTTGGCTGTTTTTAGAATTCAGAACCCTTGTTGGGGGGTACCTGGGAGGTGGGTTAAGAGGAGCTTCCATTTGTCTGGTAGATTGCGAGGCAGGGGGCAGTTGGGGCCGCAGTAGCTGCTGACAACTTTGCAATGGCCTGTCTGCCCACGCCCCGGTCTGTGTTCCCTGGGTGCTCACTCAGAGGGGCTGGCAGCCCGTGCCCATGGGTCCCTGAGGTCACGGCTCATCCCGGCCAGTCCCCTCTGACGGACGCCTCCCCCTGCCCTTCCCACCCCACTCCCTGCCCCCTACTCTGGCCAGGCCCCGGCCCGTTTGTAACCCCGCCCGCGGATCATTTCGAGAAGCCTGTTTACTGTGCAGCACCCAGGCACAACACGTTCCACAGACCCAACTTGTATATTTGGCAAATTAAACTTGACATTATCGTAATCCTGGTCCTGTGATCGCTCTTGGGGGCCCCAGGCCTGAGCTGTTCTCACCCAGCAGGACCCGGCGTCCCTCTCAGGCCCACCCCGCAGGGTTCTGGTGCCACCAGGCCCGAGTACAGGGACTGGACCCCTGGCTCGGCCTGGGCATCTGAGCCGGGAAAGACCTCAGGATACAGGAACCACCCGTCTCTAACCACCCAGGGACCTTAAGCCAGAGGGGCCAGGGACCTGCGCAGTGTTGAGTCCTGCCTTCCTGGTGCCCCCTGGTGGTGACAGCCCCAGGATTTCAGCGCTGGGAGGAAGCGACCCAACACCCAGCACTTCTGCTTGGCCTTACCTCAGGCCTAACCCAGGCTCGGCTCAGTCACATGGGCGCCTGAAGACTCCGCACAGTGCCTATCTTACCTATGCAGCCAGCGCACTGGAAGGGGCGCCACTTCCCAGACAGCAGCCTCCTGAGAGGTGAACAGGTACCAGGCATGGGTTTGCTCAAGAATAATGGGGAGCCGGGGGGCTTCCCAGGTGGCGCAGTGGTAAAGAACCTGGTTGCCAAGGCGGGAGATGCCAGAGATACAGGTCTGATCGCTGGGTGGGAAAGAGCCTCTGGAGAAGGAAACAGCAGCCCCCTGCAGTCCTCTTGCCTGACATATCCCCTGGACAGAGGAGCTGTCCATGGACAGGGTTAGCGTCCAAAGGGTCACAAAGAGTCAGATGCAGCTGGTCACACAGACACGTGGGGAACCATGTAGCCTGGACTGTCTCCTGGGGACTTAGAATTTTTACTTCCTGATTTAAAAAAGAGAATCAGTGGGTCTCCAACTCCAGAGGTTATCCTGAGAACACACAGGCCCTAGAACAATGGGGGAGAAGCCGCCTTTAGGTGCTATTTTTTCTGTAAATGTGGGCCTAGTTCACCATTAGAAGATCTATTGATGTAACTCATTACCTAGTTAGACCAAAAACCAAAAACCATGGGATTAAAAAACAGTAAAATAGGAAGGGGGGGCGGGATTGCCCTAAAAAATGAGCAGTTATTAGAAACCAACTGCAAACATCAAATAGAGAAACAGTAATTTCTGTTAAAGCCCAGAACCAGCCTAGAGTATACAGTCACCATTCTTGGCATCTGACTGCTGAGTGAGTGATGGGAGACGGCCGGTCCTGGCAGCTCCCAGGCTGGACTGTGGCGGGAAGCAACCACTGGGGCACCGCCTCTGTGTGAGGATCAGTTGTGCTGGCAAACAGCAGGAAGCTATCAGTGCCCTGCCCAGACTGACCCCTCCTCCAGACACACAGGCCAGCGTGTCTACAGTTGCGTTTTTATTACCTCCACATTCTGAAGCAGTTCATGACCACCAGAGTGCTTTGAGAACAGTTTCTTTTACAGTTAAAGCATTTCTTCAAGAAAAAAGCAATTGTTCCTTCCATAGCCAAGAAGCAGCCTCCCGTCCCTCCCCTCCTGTGGAACAGCCCCGGTGGAAACCCCACCCGGTACCCTAGAAACTCAGCAAAGCGGCCCTCAGCCTCCCCGACCCGGGCCGAGGGCAGTGCACTCCTCACGGGTCATATGATCTTGAGGTCCTTCAGGGCGGACTCCAGGCTCTGGGAGGAGACAAGCAGGACAGACAGGTGGTTCTCAGCTGTCCTGCAGACACCCTACCACCACCCGCAGGGACCTGGCGCCGGACACAGAACCTGGCCTTTGGGGTCAGGCGACCTGGATTTGCATCCCAGCCCTGAAGGAAGGTGCTGCAGAGGGTGCCAAGGGGTCCTCACTCCACTGAAGGACCCTTCTGCAGGGATGAGGGGCTGGAGTGTCCAGGTGGCTGCCAGGGAGGTGAGGGGTAGGGGACCCGCCCTGGGGGGAGGCAGGGGTGGAGGGCAGGCCTCACCTTCACGTCCCAGATGCTCATGCCACCGTCCATGCCGGTGGTGCAAAACTGCGAGCACTTGGCCTTTCCCCCGCTGAGCACCGAGATCTGGCTGCAAAGAGGAGAAGGGCTTTACAGATCCCACCCTGCCCTCCAGGAGCCCTCTAACTGCTGGGGGAGCCTGCTCCGGTGAGGTGTGTGCACCCAGCTCGGAAGGATCACAGGGGACGGGGCTCCCGAGTGTGCTCTAGTGGCAAGCACCAGCCTGTGTGCAAGGGACACAGGACGGCGTGGGCAGGGGTCGTGCGCAGGGGGAGTCATGGTGCGATGGGGAGAAGAAACAAAAGGTGGGGCTGGGAGGAGGCAGGGCTAGTTCCGGAGAGCCTTGGAAGGCCGGCAAAGTAATCTGGTCTGAAGACGCTGGACCCGGCGGCCACAGGAGGGCTTAACAGACAAGGGTCAAAGCCTGGCCACGTTCTCCCTCTCATCTGCCACGGGGCGGACACCCGCGGCTTGGCAGTATTCGGGGTCTCTCACTCCCATCCTACCCTAGCTCCTCGAGGAGACCGCTGCCACGCTCTCCGTTCTGCGCCACCCGGCCAGGTTCTAGCCCCAAAGCCGCTCCAGCTCGGGCCCCGCCCGCTAGCAGTCTGCGGGTCGCTGCCACCCTGCCCCACCCCACCCAGATCCACAGACCCAGCCTGTGACGGTCCCACACCGTCCCGGGACCGCAGAGCAAGGCTGCCCGCCAGCCCGCCGCCCGATTCTGGTCCCGCCGCGCGAAGAGACGGACCCGCCTTCCTCAGGGGCCCCGCTCGCACCTGACGCTGTTTTTGTGCAGCGAGTCCAGGCCGGCGCCCGCCGCCGCGCTGCCCTCCGAGCTCGCCTTCTTGTCGAGGTTCTGGAAGCGCTCGCGGGCCGTCAGGCCGCGCTGCGAGCTCTGCTTGGGCACGTCCAGCCGCCCACCGAAGCTCAGCTTCCCCGCGGCTCTGTCGTAGGTGAAGAGCACCGGGAAGCAGTCGTGGCCCTGCGGCGAGAGGGGCAGGGTGGGGTGCCACTGGAGCGCTGGCTAGCGCAGGCGCAATACCCCCATTTCCCTCTAGGGGAACCCCAGGCCCCGGGGAGGTGCAAGGCCAAGGCAACTCCGGCCACCAATCCGGGGGGTGCCGGAGGCAGCCATGCCGGCTCAGGGACCCCAGGTATAGCAACAGGGGCCAGAAGTTGGGGCTGAGCACCTAGGAGCGGCCCCCTCCGTCCGCAAGGCCAGCCTCTGGTCGAGAAAGCGGGTCTGGGACTCCCCTGGGAGCCCAGCGCCCCGTCCCATCCAGACAGTCACATGGGCTCTGGGAGAAACACACTGCTGGACCCTTCCCTCGGCGGAGTGGGCCTGATCCCCGCGGGACCCCAGTGAGTTTGCTGAGGCCTGAAGAGAGACGTGACAGAGCTGGGCAGGAGGGAGGGAAGGAGAGTGGCATCTTTCTGGACGCAGGTAGGAACCCCCACCCACCCCCACCCACCACAAGCACCCATCCTTTGAGGGCGGTGTGGCCCTGTCATTTCCATCGGCCAATAAAACGTAAAAGCAGAAAGGCCTGGGCCAGGGAACAGCTCCCCACTTCCCGTCTCCAGGTGGGAGACACAGCCCCCCTCCCAGCACCCAGACCGAACAAAATGAGCAAGAAACCGACATTCCCCATGTCAAGCCACTGCAGTTGGTGCCACTGGGGATTTTTTGTCGTTACCCCAGTACGACCCCCCCATTCCGACCAGTAGAGCTACGGATGGCTGGGGGTGGGGGAGGAAAGGCATGAGCGGGGACAAACTGAGGACTGCCTGGGCATCTTGGGGCCGCTGGGAGACCTGCTGTCACCAGCCCCTGCTCCCGGCCCCCTCCTTACCGCTGCCACCAGACTGTTCTCCGTGATGAAGGTTACGGCCAGCAGCGGCAGCGTTTCAGAGGCCAGAGTCGCGACGCTGAAAGAGAGCGCGCGATGTCAGCCACGCCGGCCCCTGCTTCTCGGTGCCGGGGCGGACCCCCACTCGGGTGGCCGTACTCACGCCATCTTCTTGTCAGCATCTGCCAGGCACACGGTGCTGTCGTGGCTGACCCAGGCCACACGGCTGCCACTGGCCGAGAAGCAGACGCCGTGCACCCAGCCGCAGGTACTGCTGCACTCGAACATCAGCTCCCCGAACGGCATCTTGGAGCCCCACGGGGTGGGTGCGGGCCGCTCCTCCACCTCCTTGATGTAGGCCGAGAAGATCCTGCCAGGAGAGGCAGAAAAGGGGATGGGTGGGCGTCTGGGAGGGACCCGAGAAGGGACCCCCGTCTCCCAAACTGGCCTGGTGAGGCCAGAGCACCTTGCTGAGTTTGTGGGTACCAGGGCTAGCTTTTTATGACCTGAGTCTTCACACTCGGATAAGTCTGGGCCTCAGTGCCCACTTGTACAATGGAGCGGGGCCAGGAGGCCTCCCAGCTCCAAGTCCTGGGAGCTCTCGGGACCGTATCTGCTCTGTGCCCAGGGCCTCTGGTGTCTGCTGTAGCCTCACCACCCAGGGGCGATTCAGAAATACAGGCCGTCTTGCCTGGAGCTGGGAGCTAGAAGCCTTGGGAGACTCAGGGGTGCTGGGCCCAAAGTGAGAAACAGCCAATAGCAGTTAGAGTCTCTATGTTCCAGGTATTAAGATAATGAGGCAGAGACTGTCCCAGCCTCAGTCATTTATACCTCAGTGTGAATAAAAACACCCACTCTTTTTCCCTCAGATGGAAATCAGGAAGCTGAAGGGGTGGGAGGTTCTAATGAGGACAGCAGGGCCTAGAAGAGATCCTGCTGACATTAGAAAGTGGCAAGGCGTATGTCCTTCTAAGACTCCCCACAGGCCAGAGAGAAGACTCAAGAACGGTCCTTCAAAGAGCAAACCCTTACGGAAGCTGGACTGAGGCCCCAGGGCACCCTGCTGGGTGCAGAGCTGGTCTGCAAGGCGGGCCTCTTGGGACAGGGCTCCCCTCGCCACCCCCTGACCCCCGAGGAATCCTGTGTTGACGGCAGGGCACCCCCCCTCACCGGCATTTGAAGTCGCAAGAGCCGGCGGCCAGCAGCACATTGTTGGGGTGCCAGTCCAGGCTGAGGACGGTGGAGCGGATGGGCTTCTTGATGTGCTTGCACACCCACCTGGACACGGCGGTGGTCACACAGGTGTGCAGGGAGAGAGGGACAGACAGGTGAGTGCCCTCGGACCTCAGCGCCTCGGGCTCCAGGCTCCCACTGGGCCCTGCAGACCGCAGAGGTCCCCGGAGGGAAGGGCCCGGGCCAGCTGGGCCCCTCTCTGGATGGGAGCACCGCCCCTGGTCTCCTTTCAACCTCGTAACTACCCTGGGGCCGCCGGGTAAGGAGAAGGCACGAGGCTGCTCACTGTCAGGGTGGGACCTGAACTCGAGTTTCTCGGACTCCAGTCCGAGCTCCTGCCCGGCCTCTGCCCTCAGCAACTCCGGGGAGAAGGTTGTGACATGGCTGGAGCTTGTGAGTGGGCCCTGGAGTGTGACGGCTGTTGCTGTGGGCAGGTGATTTGCCTCAGGGCCTTTGTTGTAAGGTGGGGATGGCAGCAGGGCTTCCCTTATAGCTCAGTCGGTAAAGAATCTGCCTGCAGTGCCGGAGACCTGAGTTCAATTCCTGGGTCGGGAAGAACCCCTGGAGAAGGAAATGGCAACCTACTCCAGTATTCTTGCCTGGAGAATCCCATGGATAGAGGAGCCCAGCAGGTTACAGTCCATGGGGTTGCAAGAGTCGGACACGACTTAGCGACTAAACCACTCATCACCAGCAGGGATGGCAGCAGATGCCCAGTCCAGGGGGCCGCGGCGGGTGGGGTGGGGGGGTCATTGCGTATGTGGGCAGGGCTTAGTGTGATGCCTGCAGAAGCAGCCCTGGCATGGCTCGTGCCCTTATTACTAGAGGGAGCTGGGGGAGGGCCGGGGGCTGGGCAGAGAGCCCCTCGCCTCACTTCCAAGGGTCAGAGAGGACACCCTTCTCGGGTCCTGTGAACAGGCGTCCTGACTCCCCGCCCAGTGGCTTTCTGGGACCCTCCTGTCCTACCATCTGTTGGTCTGCAGCCCCCGGTCCCTCGTAACCCATGCTGAACCCGCCCGGGCACCCACCAGTCATTTTCCTGCTCAAAATAGCAGATGGAGATGACACGGGAGCCACTGCCCACAGCGAACTTGTTCTCCTTGGGGGCCCAGCGCACGCAGCGAGCAGCGCGGTTGATGCGCAGGATGACCAGCGTGGGCTTCCATGTGCGGCCCTTCAGTGTCCACACATAGGCGTTGCGATCTGTGCCGCAGGTCACGATGCGGTTACTCTCGGGGGCCCAGTCAATGCCTGCGGGGTGGGAGGAAGGACTCGGCTGAAGCCATCCAAGCACAGTTGGCTCGACAATGTCCACAGAGGAGGGGCTTCGAGGTCACAATCAGGATTGAATCAGGGTGCTACTAGAGTTCATCAGGGGTGTTACAGCTCTCTCAGCTATCAGCAAACACACTGGAAGGCCAAGCCAAGAGACAAAAATAGAAATGGGTCCCTGGTAATGCTGATGTGCTGGATCAAGCCTTTCCTGAGGTCCTCAAACATCTGTGTTTTTCAGAAACGTGAACCCATCCATGTAACTGCTTTATAACTTAAGCCAGTCTGAATCAGGGTTCTGTTGTCAAGGCTTGCAGCCCAAACTCTCCTACGTAACACGGTGAGTAGGGGGATGGCTTGGCCCTGCCCTGCCCTGCCGTCTCTCAGGAGGATGAGCCCAGCCAGCCCAACGCGCCTGTCACCCCTGCCCTGCCCTCTCTCAGGAGGGTGAGCCCAGCCAGCCCAACGCGCCTGTCACCCCTGCCCTGCCCTCTCTCAGGAGGGTGAGCCAACCAGCCCGACGCACCTGTAACCTGCCCGTTGTGCTCCTTGAGTTCATGCACCTGGACCCACTTGTTCCCGCTCTTCTCGTAGATGTGTACCTCGTGGTTGTTGGGGCAGATGGCGATCTCTGCAGGAGAGACGGGCGGACGTGCTCAGGCTCCCCTTCCCCCGGTGAGTCCCCCCTTCACGGGCCACCTGGGCAGTACCTTGTCCTTTGTTCCTGGCCTCTCCTCCTCTGCCTCAGGTCCCGCTGGACCCCCCCTTGGGACACCTCCCCAGGGCTTGGCCACTCCTCCCCTGTGCCCACCACCCCTAACATCCCTAAGGCAGACTTGCGAGCTCTCCCTGCCTTCCCCTGCTACCAGAATGCACCCAGGGTTTTTGGGCTGCCCCTGATGACCCCAGGCTCTGCCACCTTGGGGTCGCTGCACCCAGCTGCCCCGGCCTTTGCAGCTGACTTCCCTCACTTCCTTTGGGTCTCTCTGCAAACGTCACCTGCCCTGAAAGGCCTCACGGGCCACCCTTTCTAAGCCAGCCCCCGGCTCCATCGCTTTCCCCTCACCCTGCCTGTTCCCTTGGAGCTCATTTCACTGCAGGCTGCATTTCCCATCCCCAGGCCCTCACGAGCAGAGGACAGGCCACCCGCCCGGCACCCACAGTAGTGCCCAGCACAGGCGGGGCTGCCCTCTGGCCTCCGGCCCTCAAGGTCCGTGCGCCTGGCTGCCCTGTGTGGGATCCCTTCTCTCCTGACACTCAAGATCTCAGGGTCGGGGGTGAAGCAGGGGCACAGTGGCAGAGGGGGGTCTCGGGGACTCACGGGTGCGGTCCTTGTTCCAGGCGTGGCAGCTGATGGGCTCCACCAGGAAGCTGTGATAGGCCATGGCTGCTTGGCTCCTGTGCCCGAGAGAGGGAGGGGACACAGGTCAGCACCCCTTCTGGCCTCGAGGGAGGGTGTCATCACTTGTGCCTCAGTTTCCCCATGGGTGGAGTGCCGTCCCCCTCCAGGAGCGCACCAGGCCTGCTGGCCTTCGCACATGCTATCTTCCCTCTGCAGGGAAGGTCAAGCCTGATGGTCCTGGGAGGCCAGTTCCATGTGCTCATCCTCTCCGTGCCACCAAACGCCCCCGCTGTTCTGTCCAGCAAACTACTACTCATCCGGAAAGACCCAAAGTGGACTTCCTCAAACCCCTTCTCTCCCCACCTCAGCCTCCCAGAGTCACAGGGAGCCCAGGGTGGAGCCCAGCCACACTGCTTGCCAGCTGTGTGACCCTGGCACGTCACTCACCCTCTCTGAACCTCAGTTTCCACATCTGCAAAATGGAAACAGGAATCCTGCCCTCCCCCGCTTCCCCAGAGATCTAAGAGGGTGAAATAAGACAGCACACCAGGCCTGGCACATAGTAGGTGTTCATGAAACGGCAGCTCTTGGGTAGGATGGATGTGCTGGCCCTCAATGTGCTTCCCCTGCGTAGGGTGGGCCTCCTGGCTGGACCAGGGGCTGATCCCGGGCACACGTCTCAGGCCTTCGCACCGGCTGTTCCCTCAGCCTGCAAAGCTCTTACCCCAGATGCCCGCACGGCTCCCGCCCTCCCCGCTGCCACTCGAGTCTGCGTCCAACGCCACTTTCTGAGCCAGACTCCCTCAGTTCAGTTCAGTCCAATCGCTCAGTAGTGTCCGACTCTTTGCAAACCCCATGGACTGCAGTATGCCAGGCTTCCCTGTCCATCACCAGCTCCCGGAGTTTACTCAAATCCATGTCCACTGCATCAGTGATGCCATCCAACCATCTCACCCTCTGTCCTCCCCTTCTCCTCCTGCCTTCACTCATTCCCAGCATCAGGGTCTTTTCAGATGAGTTAGTTCTTCGCATCAGGTGGCCAAAGTATTTGAGTTTCAGCTTCAGCATCAGTCCTTCCAATGAACACCCAGGACTGATGTCCTTTAGGATGGACTGGTTGGATCTCCTTGCAGTCCAAGGGACTCTCAAGTCCCTCACTTTCCCCTCAGATGATCCTACTGAGCACAGGTTACATTGTCCTCATTTATTCTGCTATGTCTTTTTTCCCCCTGCTGAAATGTAACTCGCTTGATGGAGACATATACTTCTGACCATCTTGTTCACATTTCTATCCCCGGCGCCTAAATGTTTGGCACATAGTAAGTGCTCGATAAATATTTGATGAACACAGTTGTTTACTGCCATTAGCGTCCAGCCTGAGTAAGTTATTTTTTTAAAGGTTTAAAAAAAAAAAAAAAAAAGGCCAAGCAACATTTCCTGAGCGCTCTGCACTCACCAGCTCTAAGCCCTCCTGTATTCTTGACTTGAGCCCCAGATGACGGCTGTGGGGGTGGTAGTTTGGCGGGGAGGCCACCTGCCCAGACCTGCAGCACCCCTACTCCCCCCATGCCTCTGGGTGTCCCCAGGCCTTCGGCCACCTCCCCCATCTGACCGGGAGGTTTGTGGCCCAAGGCTGGGCCCTGGGAAGGCCACTTCTCAGCCCAGGCCTGAGCCCTGATGGCCCTGGTTGCCGGGGGTGCTGCTGGAACCCTGGGGTCTCTCTCTGCCCCCAGCGGGGGTCTCAGCCAAGACCCCTGAGGGAGGAACAGCGCTGAGTTGGGGTCCATCGAGCTGCTGTGTCCCCCACTGTGCTGCTGGGGACTATGCTGCTCAGCGACCACAAACCCCACTTTAATTTACAGCAGGAAGTCCTGCAAATTTCCCAGGGTGGCCCTGGCGAGGCACGCACAGGCGCACAGACAGGACTGTGCAGCGCCCGCCTGGTCCCGCAGCCCAGACCCAGTGGGTCCTCGGGCAGCCTCTGCTAAGAAAGAAAGTGGACACTCACAGCCAGGCTTGAAGCCACACATGTTTATGTGTTTGGTCAGCCTTGCACATGCATGACTGCTCCCACACACACATGCGTGCTCAGCCTTGCACACTCACACATAGCTCCCAGGGTAGCTGCCTCGCCAGCCTCTGTCTCCTTATAAGGCCTCTTTGTGTAAAGCAAAGGCCCCGGAAGTGGTGCCTGGGAGCACAGGCCTGGGTCAGCGAGCCGGACGGGGTTTCCCCAGCGCTTCCGCTGCCTCCGGGCTGGGCAGGCAGGGGGTCATCCGTGTCTACACCGCAGATGCCAAGACGCAGGGTGGATGCACAAGGCCTGTCCACTAAGCTGTGCTTATCTGACCCCCTTCCCCCTAGGTCACCAGTGGCGGTGGGTGGTTTTAAGGCCAGATGCCCACTTCCAAACACCAGCAGGGTTCTTCTTGGCCCCTGACTCCAGGGGAGGCTGATCATCCCCCAGCCCTTCACCCTAGGTGGCCCAGAAGGAAAGAAGCCTCATGGCTGCAGCTCCAGGGGTCCTAGACCCTAGACTCAGCTGGAGTAGAACGTGACTTCCCAGTTCTGTCCCAGTCCCGCTGTGTGGCCGGCCACCTCGGCACCGTGTGGGCCCTTGGTGAGTGTCCAGACCTGGGGGCCGGACTCTTAACAGTCTGTCTAGTGACATTTCAGGGTTTTAGGCTGTGAAGATGGAGAGGCTGGGTCTGCAGAGGACTCGGGGAGCCCTGGCCATTAGTTTCCTGGGACCCAAAATTTCTCAACGTGAGAGAGAGAGGTATGGTAGCACAGTGGGACAGGCAGGTTCAGAGCACACCTATCAGTCAATCACACTTTAGTATAAATTCAGATAGAAATACTCCCTAGGCTACTAACCCACACCCTAAAGGGGGGAGGGGGTGCGGCTGAAAGGAGTGGGAGAGAGGAAGACAGACGTGTTTCCCCTTTTTCATAACTTCTGTAAAGCAGTTGAAGCCAGCAGGGCCTCCCAACCCCCACATGTTACAATTGAGGAAGTGGGAGCCCAGGGAGGGGTGTGGCTTCTCCAGCCACTGTAGCCTTGAGGCTCAGCCTCCTGGTTCCTGGATCAGGGGATCTTTCCGCGTGATCAGACTCAAGAAAGCAGCCTTCACACCAGGCCACCTAGCCATAGGAACTGTGCCTTAATCATTCCCAGGGAAATCTCCACCCTGCCAAGGGGCTGGGGGTGGGTGCCACTGCCTGCCAGTCACCCCACTGAGGAAAGTGCCCTGGGGGCTGCTCCACCCAAGGGTGTGGACAAGGCAATGCTGCAGTGCTGCCTTCTGGTGGAGACTAAGGCAGGATGAGGCTGTGGCCCCTGGGACCCTGCCTCTGAGCCAGCTCTGTGGCTCCACTTGCTTGTCGAGGACAAAGAGAGAAGAGGGGGCCCTGGGGATGGCGTTGCAACTGGGAGCCCATGACTAGTGCTCTGTGCCCCATCAGCCTGGAAACAGTGAGTCTGGGGGAGCACGGCCAAACCCCAACAGACTCCCCCCACTCCACCCCTACCCCACTGGCTCCAAGCTGCCCGCTACCAACCTGGAGCCGGGATCTTTCTGTGCTCCTGGGAGCACTTCCCCCGTGTCTGGCACACGGTGGTGCCCAGGATGAATGGATGCGAGAATCACCCAGGGCTGGGGTTTGAGGGTACAGAGAAGGGACAGCAGCATGATGGCTGGAGGAGCTTTGGGTGTCCAGGCAGGGGGTGCCAAGGACCACATACTAGGTGGGGGAACATAAGCTCAATGGGCGCAGGGGTATTTGTTTTGTTCATAAGTGCTTCCCCAGCACCAATTAAGAGTGCCCGGCATATAGTAGGTGCTCCACAAATATTCCTTGACTGTGATGCATGAATGAATCACATCTATCTTGTGTATATTCCTTACAGACCAGCCCTATTATTTCACTGATACATATATGCAACTTGTAAATATTTACTGGGGAGTATGTGCTCAAGATCTTTTCCTGATAGGGTCCATGATCAGAAAAGCTTGGAGATCTTCCATTTAAAAGGTCCTCTGTGAGGATTTGGGGAGAATACAGCTCCGTTCTAAAGCAAAGCAAACCAGATGAAGCTCCCAACTGCTCAGCCAAGGGTCTCGGGCCTCACGCCTCTTTCCTTACACTCTGGGTTCACATTCTGACTCTCTCGATACTGACTGGGTGCCCTCTGCCAATGTTTCCCCCACATCTCTATCCAGAAAAGGCTGGGGCTGGACGAGGCACTGGCTGTAGGTTCTTTCTTGCTTTCAGAGAAGCTTTGCCAGCCCAGCCTTTTCTGCATCCAGAGGTTTGGCTGCATTTGAGGCTAAACTAGGCAGGAGCTGCCTGGAGCAAAGAACTCTGCTTTGCAGACACTCGGGGAAGTCCCCACCCAGCTCAGCCACTCGAGGGAGCTGCCAGCAAGCCATTTTGCACTCGTGCTGAGCTGTTACTTAACTTCCTGTTGTGTGTAGAACAACCCTAGTCACCCCAACAGACCAACCAATCCCTCCTCCCCAACTCCACTGCTGAGGTCTTACAGGCCAGGCAAAGTCAAGTCAAGAAAGACAAGTGAAAATCATCCTAAAGCACCACAATGCATCAGCTAAAATAATACAGACTAAGCAAAACCCCCAAACACATAAAACTCAATGCTGGCAAGACAGTGGAGAAATTCTCATTTGTTGCTAATTTGTTCAGTCTTCCTGAAGGGCAGTGTGATAACAGCCAATTCCAATCAACCAGGTGGGAACAAACAGAACAAAATAACATTAACAGGAACTTACAAATTGCCAACATTTTTTTGTGGCATAAATTCATTTTGATGCTAAAAAATACAGCCACTGACTTTTTTTTTTTAAAGCAAACATGTTCATAATAACTCTCTTTATAATGGTGACAGGATAGAAAAATGCAGATGACTACAAACATGGATAGAGAAACAGTGAACATGTTGGGATAAGATGTATGTGGATTATATACACATACATAATTAACTAATTTGCTTGGCATCTTTAAATGCCCAGAATTTACCCAGGACTTTGACATACATTCTCTTTTATGCCCTAAAAGAAACCCAAGAACTCTTCTAGTGTTTGTTTTAACCTTCATGTTGTTGAGTAGGAAACAGATGCAGACGAAAACCAAACTGGGCACCCACCTCCTAAAACGGCACAGTTTGGGATTCTGACCCTAAATCTCAGAGGTGATAAATGTATAGGCAGGCCCTATAATAAAAGCAAGGATAATAAAAGTGCACAAATTAGCTCGTGTGTGCCTGGCACGCTGCCAAGTGTCTTACACACATGATCACATGTAAGCCTCCCAGCTTGAAAGTTCCTCATTTTCCAGGTAAGCAAAGTTGGGGCCCAGGGAGGTTAGGCGGCTTGCTAAGGTCAGTGGCCAGTGAAGGAAGACGCTGGCGCTATTAGCAGCTTCTGGTCTGGAAGACCTTGCCAGGCCAGGGTGCTCTTAACCACGGAGTACCACTGCCCGCCTGGCGGGAGGGACCCGGGGACAGCCCAGATGAAACGGAGAGCCTCCAGCTCCGCGTCTGCCCCGGGCTCGCTTAGGCAGCTTCATGCCAGTAAACCTCTGTGTCACCGTCGCTGCCCCGAGGTCCCGGCCCTGCCCCAGTCCTGGCCGCGGTCCCTGGGCCGCCGGCGAGGGAGGGGCCGCTCGGAGCGCGCCGGTCCAGGGCCCGCGAGCTCTGGAGGTCCGCCTTCCGGAACCGAGCAAACCCCTCCCTGGATCGGACCCCTTCGACCTGGCCCCGGGGTCGGGGGCTGGGTGGGTGCCGGGAGAGAAGGAGGGACGGAGGAGGGGCGAGGCGGGCGGGGGCGCCAGCTCATTTCCCCGCTGGAGGAACCCGGAAGGCTGAAAGGTGGAGGGGAAGTGACTGGGCGTGGGGGCCCTCCGGCTCGAAATAACGGGGGACACCGACGGCCGCGAAGAGTCGGGGTGGGGGGACGGGAGAGAGGGGAGGCCGCGAGGGCCGGGCGGGGAGGTGGACGCGCGAGCCCGCGCGCCCCGAAGGCACGGAGTGCGGGGAGCGCTGCGGCTCCCTCGCCCGGAGGAGGTCGCCCGCCCGCCAGCACCCCGTGCCCCGCGCGCGTCCCCTCACGTCCAGGGGGGCCTTCAGTGCCCCCTTCTCGTCCCTGAGCTCCCCGCGCCCCCATCTCCTGGCGACCCCCCGCAACGTCCTCCCCACCTGCACGCGCCCCCTCCTCGCGCTCCCCTCGACCCCCCTCCCGGGCCGCGCCCGCGCCCCCCTCACCTCGGGGCGCCGCGGCCGCGGACTCTGGGCAGTCGACGCGCCGAACCGGCTCTGGGCGCCGCGCCGCGCGGCCACTTCCTCGTGGGCGGGGGGCGGGGCCTCCGGGCTCAGCCCCGCGGGGACGGGGCGGGGCCTGTCGGCGGGCGGGGAGCCCCGGGCCCGCCCACCCTCCAGGCCTGGGGCCGTGCCCACCCGGGCCGCCCGGAAGGCGCGCGCCCCTCTCCGCGTGTCGGGCGGGGAGACTGAGGTTCGGCGAGGGGCGCGCGTCTCTGTCGGCCTCGGGCCCCCTCCCAGCGGGGACCAGACCTCCGTCCGCGAGCGGATGCTGCTGGTCGCCGCATGTGCGCGGGGGTGGGGGTGGGGGGTGGGCAATCAGGGGGAGTCCGGACCCCTGGCCAGCCTCCGGGATCCTCAGGTCAAAACGGCGGCTGGTCCAGCCCCTCCTAGAGCCCACTTCCTGACCCTCTTTCCACCGCAGACCGCTTCCCGTCCTTAAGTTACACCGGACTCGCCGCCGCCTTAATGTGGTGGGTCTTGGGCCAGGTGGTCCAAGGAGGTCTCTCCATCCCTGCCCCCTGCCTCATCAGTGGGGATGACCGGCAGCTGGCCCTTCCCCCAGGGTTCCGCTTAGCTGGTCAGCCAGACACTAAGTAGCATGGGGGATGGTGTGGGGTCTCAGGAGGTCCCGGGCCAGGCACCCATGCTGTCCTGTCTCCTGGCTTTGACCTTTGCTGTTCTTTCTGCCTGAAACATTGTCACGCCCTGTCCGCATCTGACCCACTTACCTTTATCTTGCAGGACAGGCGTCAGTGTTTCTTAGGTCACTTTGTCCCTGACCCCCTCAACAGGGTCCTGGGCTCACCAATCCTGGCTCCCATTACACAATCCCAATCTGCGGGTGGCCAGGAGGAGGAAATGTGTCCAAAGGTGAGGAGCACTTTGAGAGGCGCACACAAGGTGCTCGGTAAACTTTAGCTCCTTCCTGGCTCTGGGCAGACACTGAGGGGCTGTTAGCAGGACCCCCCGCCACCACCACATCCAGCTGTGGCAAATATAAGTGATGGCTTTACTTAGAAAAAAGTTTCAAGTGGTCTGTACCAGCTACCTTCACCTCGAATGAGGACAAGTGCACTCCATTGTCGAGGTGATACTTGCATCCTTGGGTTCCACTTACCTCTCCCCAGCTTTGCAGGTGCCCAGGGAACAACCCCAGTAGGGACTGAGCCCCACCTCTGACGGCGGCCTCCTCCCCCGGCAATGCTCTCACCCAATCCCCCAGTCCTGGACTTGTGACCTAAGAGTCGGTCAAAGCAAAGCCCAGGACTTTGGACGAAGACAGTACCTTCTGGAATTTGGGAAGCCTGATGACACGGGGAGTGGGGGAGCGAGGGTGGTGGGGATCGAGATGCAGAAAGTCCCAGGAAATGACCACAGAGCTCCCTGGTCAACCTCTGACGGCAGCCTGAGCTCAACCCGCCTCCAGGGGTTTCAGATACGTGAGCCAGGGAATCCACTTCTGAGTTGTTTCTGTCAGTCAGCCCTAGCAGCTTTCTAACAAATATGCACACCTGAGACCTCCCTTTCCCTCACTGTGAAACTGAGCTGATTTGATGAGTCGACGCTAGCTGAGTGCGAGCAGAAAGCGTGTTTGTGTTATTCGCTCAGGAGGCACTGGGTAGGCATTTGCAGAATGAATCAATCCATGAAGGAACTCATGGGGTCAGAAACTTGAACCCAGCTCTGACTCAGCCGCTTAACCTGGAGTGTAACTTCAGGCCACTCTTCTTGCAGTGCCTGGGTTTCCGCATCTGTAAAGTGAGGCTGAGCCCTAACAAGCACTGTCCGTCCGCCTACCTCACAGGCCTTGCAGTCCTTGTGGGAAGACCCAAGAGATGGGAAACACACCTCAAGATGGGAAGCGACGGGGGGTGTTATTTGAAATGGCTCCATTGGGGGACAGTTCTCTAAGCCTTCAATGGAACAAGTCCTTGGGTGGGGAGAACCTGGAGTTCCAAGAACTCAGAGATCTGTGTCTTCCTGGAATCTGCCTCCCCCGGTTCCCTGGGATGAAAATGCTATACACTCCCTTCTTTCCTGCCTTCGCAGGGTCCCCAGGAAGACAGCCACGCACCCCTGCCGACTCCTCAGGGCTTGCCCACTCGGAGAGGACCGTGGGCCTGGGGCTGGTGCAGGGTCTTGGGCTCACCAAACTCCTTCCTCCCTGCCTCTCTGCTCCTTCCTCCTCGCTGCACTGGCCTTACTGCCTCCTGGTCACAAGGGGGCAGCCTCGCTCTGGGCTTCTGGACTCAGGTGGTGGTGGACCGCCCGGGCAGCGGGAGGCTAGGGGGCAAGTCTTTCCAGCAGCGCCCACCCCCGTGTCTCCTTCGGTCTCAGCCTGTGCCCACCCCCGGATGGGGACCCTGGGTCTCTCCCTGAGATCAAAGGATGCTACCCAGTACCCTGTGAGGAGGAGGAAAGAGGGGAGACCCTAAGCCTTCTTCCAGGGCTGCACATATACGTGAGGCGGCCAAACCCTGCGACGGCCGAGGCACGCAGCATGGAGGCCGGGTACACACGCCGAGTGCGCCTCAACCCGGGCCTGCTCACGGCCCAAGCCATGCAGAAACCATGTGGTGTCACCTGAGGGGCTCTGAAGAGCTGATACCTGTCCTTTATGTCTCAGCGCAGAAAGAATTCCGCAAAGTGATAGATGATGAGTGATTTATTAGGGGGCTTATGAGGCTTACAGGCGGGCGGGCAAGGGATTGCTGCAGCCCGAGAACTTGGTGAGTTACAGGTTTATAATCAAAGGAAAAGTGGGGAGGGGGAGAACACCTGTTTCTTGAGTGGAAGTCATGCTTCCATCATCAGCTCCCCCTCCAGGCTGGGCGGTGGAGTTGCTTGTCCCGACATGGCCACCAATGACTGTTTTTCGTGTGTGCAGAGAGCACGCCTGGGGGATCCTTACCTTTCTGAGCTCACTGGGCAGGATGTGGGGCTCGTGCCACCATTGTCTCATTGTTCTGGGGGCATGTCTCCTGCGTCTGTCGCATGGCTTTATTGCCAAGCAAGCCTGCCTGGTTCTGTGGTTAAGCAAACCTGCTCATTAGCTTACAGCAGCTAGCTGTATTTTTTTCCTACTTACTGCCCCATATTTTTTCTACTTACAGTCCCCTCATGGGGTTAACGATTTAAATAATCACCTCCTGTGCCGTTTATTCTGTCCCTATCAATCAACATGGCTCAATGAGGAAACTTGGTCTACCAGAAGACCCCACAGGTATGGCCAAGGGTGGGGCAGGGGTCGGGGGGAGATCCCCTCCTGGTTTCAGTGACAGCACCCATCTCCCAAATGTGGTGACAGAACGGGGCTGGGTGGCCAGGCAGCTCCCCTCCCTGCCCTGGCCCAGCAGGGAGCGTGCTTGGCGGCTCCCCCCTGGGGCTCTGGAGATACCAGCTGTTACTCGCTCTCTGGACTTGAGTTTTTTCAGCTCTATGAGGTGGCAGTCCCAGTTCCAAGCCCACTGTGAGGAGTGCATGCCTGTCGACTATTCCCCTTGGTGTTGGCATGTGGACCTTGGTGCGAGGCACACCTTCTTGCCGTGTTGGACCGAGCAAGAACCAACCATTGGGTCCTCATCAACCCCCACTCAGGGGAGTGACTCTACCTTAGTGGCATTCGAACTGTTTGTAGTCATGACCCCCACGGGACACACTGTGGCCTCTTTCACAGCCCCCTGTGTGTCTGAATCAGAACTGACTCCATGTGCTGCAGAATGCTTTCTCCTGTTGAAGTGCCAGCCGTGATTTTACAACTTTCAGATGGGCTCTGACCCTCAGTTTGAAAAACTGCTCTTGATCCTATTTCCTCCCTTTCTTTTTATGCTGCGCCACCTGGCTTGCTGGGATCTTAGCTCCCCGACCAGGGACCAAACCCGTGCCCTTGGCAATGAAAGCGCAGAGTCTTAACCACCGGAATCCCTGGGAATTCCCTCTTCCCCTTTTCTGAACGGCCTTAGTGGACTCCTTTTCTGTTGCTGCTGGAACCACAGATGGGGAGGCTGGTCCTTGAGATCATGCAAGTGACTTCTCTTTCAGCGCTGGAGGTCAGAGGTCCACAGCCTGCCTCAGTGGCTGAATGGGTGCTGGAGGTTTCTGGAGGCTCCAGGGGAGAACCAGGTTCCTCTTCCAGCTCTGAGAGGCTGCAGCAGAGTGGACGCTACAGCAGATGGTCAGAGGCAGGTGCCCAGGGGCCGGGATTCTCTCCCGGAGGGAAGCGGTGCTTTCCGTGGGTCAGCAGCAGGGCAAAACATGTTCTTTTCAGAACATCACGATGTCCTTTGAGAACGCAGTTACCCGTGTTGTCTTAACAGTACTAGAGTCGTGTGGGAATCACTGCTCCACTTCTGGGCACGCGGCCAGACCACACTCAAGGCTGCGCTGTATTCATTTTCCCTGCCAGTCACTTTTTCTTTGTTGCAGCTCTCAGGAGTCTCAGCCTTGAAATGTCAAACTTGGCCTCTCCTTATGATGAAGATAACTGATTTTGGGTACAATAATCTCTAAACCAAAATGACAACTTGTGCTTTTTCTCTCCCATTGCACACCTTGACCCCCACCACACCCACGGGCAAGAGGCTGCTTGGCAGAGGGAGGTCTGTCTGTCTGTTGTCTGTAAACAAGCTGGGAACAGGGTGCCTCCTCTGCCCAAGTCTTGCGGGGCTAAAGACTGCACTCAAGAAATGGTTCTTTTGGTTGAAGGGTGTACCAGATGGCTCGATTTAGGAAACTACGTCTAAGATTCTAGCCCCCAAACTCACTAGTCTGACAAAGAATTCACCCACATTTCCGTACTAAAAATGCAAACAGTATAAGGAAAACAAAACCAAAAACATATTCAGTGTTTTTATTTAATTTTTTTCAGCAGACAATTTACATACCTCCCCACCCCTTCCTTTAAGTTAGTGTTGACAACGTTCCATAATAAACTACTTAAAGAGAAGCTTTGGTCAAGAATGGAATGAAATTGCAAAACAAAACAAAACAACCCCCCAAACAAAACCCAAATCACTGCTGCTTTAAAAAAACCAACACTTTCACCAATTATGTTCAAACGAAACACACAAGGAGGTTTGCGCCGTGTGCGTCTTCAGTGTTTGCTGGCGGCGGGCTCCCCTCCCCGTGCGAATGGCGGAGCTGCCCCGGCGCAGCCGGTTCGTCCTCATGCTGGGTCTGGAGGCACGCTCAGCTTCACATTATCCGAAGACCCTGAATGGAAGACTCTAAGGTCTGGGAGCGGCGGGGAGAACACGGATCATCACTGGGGACTGGCCAGCCTGGCGTTTCACCCACTACCCCACCTGCCTCGGAGACCCGCACTCGCCAGGGCAGGGCGCCCCCTGCTGGTCCTCCCAGGCCGTGCGCCCCCGGCCCACAGGCTCCGGGCACACCCCGGGGCGGGGGGAGGGCACGTATGTTCTTCTCATCTGTGTCGCTGGCCCCGCACTCTGGTGCCCTGATGGCAGGCACTCCACGTCTGTAGCCCCCACGCAGCCAGTCGGGTACGCAACACCGAGCGTGGGCTCACCGGGGGACGGACCACAGAGGAGGACGTGCGCACGGGAGAGGAAGGTTGGCCGCAGGGACCAAAGGAGGAGGGCGCTACCCGCCCGGGTGGAGCTAATTACACAGGTGCGGAGGCCCCAAAGCGGGCCAAGGCCACAAGCGGGAGAGACTTGTAGGGGCAGAAACATCAATCGTCCTGGAAGCCCTACAGGCAGCGGCAGAGTTCTGTACACGTTTCACTTCGGAGGTTGGGTCCGCCTCTCCTCCCCCGACACCCGCCCAGACCCGGAAGCTGGAGGCTGCAGAAGCCTCCGGGGTTTGTCCCTCACTCACAACGCCCCTCCATCCGGCCCCCTAAGCCTGGCTGGTCCAAAACCTCCTGGCCACTCCCCACCATAGCTGGAGCACGTCCTCGTCACTTGTTCACTAGAGTCGGAGCCCAGGCCGCCCACACATCATAGCAGGCGCCTCTCCCAGTGGGTTCCAGAGTCGCCCCGCTGCCCGCAGACATGCCAGGCTCCTCCAGGGTCCTCTGCCTGGCCCATGGTGCCCCTCGTAGCCCAGACCACTCACTACCTGAAACCCACCCCGCCTTAAGAGGCCGCTCAGGCAGTCTGTGCAGCCTCCCCCACCCTGCATTCCCCCGCGGGAACACAGGCGCTGACTTCTCCCCCACCGAGCTGCTCCCCGACCCCGTCCTCCTCTCTCCACCAGTCCTTCGAGGGCCCAGGCCCGGCACCCGAAGGCCGGCAGCGAGTGCTTGTCAGAGAAATCGGTGCGGATCATAAAAACATAGCTACCGAGTTTGACCAGACTGGGCCCAACCCCGGGCCGCCACGAAAGCAGCGCTCGGCTCCCTGTCCGGGTCTCCACAGACACCCGGGAGAGCAAGCATACGACGCCTCGGTGAGACAGAGCGGCTTTCTCCTGTTAATAGCCCCTGGAGGCAGCCCAGTGCACCACACTCCTGCCGTGTGCTGCAGGTGACAGTTGGGTCAAAGACACGGGGAACGGTCTTCTCACAAGAAGCGTTTAAGCACCAGTGAGATATGTTCTGAGAGGTATAGACTATACCTTGAAATCCCAAATGGTCATGGCTCCGTCGATGCCGGTAGTGCAAAATTTGCGACAATCTTGCTTGTCCACCTCATAAATAGACACTTGGCTGAAAAGAAACACAAGCAGGAGAGACCGTGAGGGACGCGGTGGACAAGCCCCAGGCTTCCAAGACGCGTATCGGCATTTGCAGGGAGCAAAGTGTCTACCAGTTTCCTTCCAGGTGTCTGTGGATATTACTCTGTGGCGACCTGACTCAGAAAATGCTCAAATGAATTTTATTAACAGGTATCCAGAAAAGAAAGCGACTGCCAAAAGGGAAAAGTTAAGGATGGGTATTAACCTCGGATGCAAAGAGAAGCAGGGTGATCTGGACCAGAGTGCGCCCCGGGGGAGCAGGGGGCGGGCAGGGCCACAGTTGGGACAGGCTTTCTGAACAAACTAGAGGCCTCGTGGAGCATGACTGAAATCCACCTGGCTCCTCAGGTCCACCGTGATGCTGCTGAGAAATCTAATTGAATGATCTTACTCGTACACATTACTTGAAATCCAGGATTGAAATGACAACTACAGTTACTTTTCAGACGGTACGACTGACCTTCCTGCCGGGTGCTCCCTACGAGAGGAACACGACGTCAGGGCGGCTCCTTTTCTTCTCAGGCACGTTTCTGAGCAAGGGAGGCTCAGAAGAGGCTGCCTGAGGGCAGGGCCGGGGTGTGCTCTGCGCGTGGAACGCCTGCGCAGGCTGACTACGGGTGCGGGTGGAGCGGCTCTCTGTGACGTCACGGACCCGTCAGGAAACAGGGGAGCGGCGCCCCCTGGCGGGCCGGGCGCGCGGCACCTACGTGATGCTGTTCTGGTGTAGCGTCTC